GAGACTTACTGCTCAGAAAAAAAAAGTATTTATTTCAAAATATTAATGTTCATTGACTATGTACCTAGTCACCTAAGAGCTCCAAAAGAAAAGTCAAGCAGTCATCAGGCTCAGTGGCTTATGCCTATAATCCCAACACTTTGGAAGGCTGAGGCAGGCAGATCCCTTGAGCTCAGGAATTTGAGACCAGCCTGGGCAACATGGCAGAACTCTGTCTGTACAAAAAATTAGCCGGATGTGGTGGCACACACCTGTGGTTCCAGCTACTCAGGAAGTGGAAATGAGAGAATCACTTGAATCTGGGAGGCAGAGGTTGCATTGGTCCAAGATCACTCTACTCCAGCCTGGTTGACAACAGAATGAGACCCATCTCAAAAAAAAAAAGAACAGAGTCAAGGAGTCAAGTTGAATGATGAAAAAAGAAGTGTCAAGGAGAGTCATTGTTTTTGTGCTAGTATTTACTCTGCAGCCCATTGATCAGGAGTAATTTTTACTTTTAGCTTACTATTTAAGAAATACATTTCATAAAGTTATAGCCGCCATAGGTAGTGATTGCTGTGATGGATCTGGGCAAAGTAAATTGAAGCCTTCTGGAAAGGATTCTCTATTCTAGATGCTGTTTACAGCATTCATAATTCATAGGAGGAGATCAAAATAGCAACATTGACTGGAGTTTGGAAGAAGTAAATTCCAGTCCTCAAGGATGATTTTAAGGGGTTCAAGACTTCAGTGGAGGAATTAACTGCAGGTATGGTGAAAATAGCCACACACACACAAAAAACCCCAAACTAGAAGTGGAGCCTTGAAGATGTGATTTAATTGCTGCAATCACATAATAAAACTTGAAGGGATGAGGAATTGCTTCTTATGGATGAGTGAAGAAAGTTGTCAAAGAGCATCACATTCTACAGAGAAATCTTTCTTGAAAACAAGAGTCAATGAATGCATCAAACTCATTGTTGTCCTCTTTTAAGAAATTACCACAGCCACTCAGCCTTCAGCAGCCACCACCCTAGTCAGTCAGCAGCCATCAGCATCCAGGCAAAACCCTCTACCAGCAAAAAGTTACCACTTGCTGAGGGTTCACATGATTGTTAGCAATTTTTAGTAATAAGGTACATTAAAATTTATATACATTTTGTAGACATACTGTTGTACAGTAGACTTCAGTGTAGTGTAAACAACTTTTATATGCACTGGGAAATAAGTTTGTGTGATTTGCTTTATTGCAACATTTGCTTTGTTGGGGTGGTCTGGAACTGAACCTGCCATGCCTCCAAGGTATGTCTGTGTAGTGCCATCATTGAAGGCACTAAATAGATAGTTATTGTTGCTCTACTCAATGAAATTTAGTGTCATTAATTTTTCTGTGTTATAAAGAATTTAATATCTCCCAATGTAAAATCATTCTATCTTCTCAAACATGCATAATCTATATGTTCAAAAAACTCAACTATTCGACTTATTTTTTACACTAATTCTCTTACGTATAAATAGCAACAAGACCTCTGATTCAGGATGTTAAAATAGATATCTGTATTCCTGCCTCCTCAAAATCCCATTAAAGTGACAGGAAAATAGGAGAATATAATAAATCAATCAAAACAATGAAAAAAGAAAAGTATGCCATCAGGAGATGAGAGATTTTCATACCATTCTGAAAATGAGAAAGCAGATGAAACTGAATTGATGGAAATGTCTAAATACAGAAAGTGTGGCCTCCAAAGTAGTCATAAGAGAGATCAGCTACTAAGAGGAGGACTGTTCTTAGTGAATGAAGCCCAGGTGAGCAGGCAGACGTATAAAGTTAAACAGCCAGGTAATTAAATTAAAAGACTACTTAAGGAATAGTTAGGTAGGCATTGTTTTTTCTCTTACAGGAGTAGTTGTGAAAATGGAATACTCCAGCTCACAAAGCTGTGAAATTTGTAAGTACTAAGAGTAAAGGAGAGATACCAAGGACAGCCATTGAGATAAGAAAGTAGGATTAAAAGTAATTCCAAAATTGTATAATTAGCCCAGATTTTTTTTTTTTTTAGGAAGCCCCACTCTACTTGAAATATACTGAAGTACCCACCAACCAAAGTAAAACCTTCCTTTGTTTAGTTGCCGTGTACGTTCTCTTCCTATTCCCTGTTCAAGCACTCTAAAGTGGGGCCTGCTTGCAGACATGCTCACATTCAGCTCTTCCATTCAAGGGAGAATCTGAGTTTAAGACCAGCCTGGGTAACATAGCAAAACCCCATCTCTTTACAAAAAAAAAAAAAAAAAAAAAAAGCAAGCCAGGTGTGGTGGTGCATGCCTATGGTTCCAGCTACTTGGAAAGCTGAGGTGGGAAGATTGCTTGAGCTCTGGAGGTGGAAGTTGCAGTAAGCCATGATTGTGCCACTGTCCCCTATCCTGGGTGACAGAGCAAAACCATACCTCAAAAAAAGTTTTTAATATTATAAAAAATAAAAAAAGATAGAACACTTAATTAAGTTGATAGAGTATCAAAAAAACTATAGTAAACACCATCCCTAACAGTGAAATACTATATTTATTTCTTTTAAAGTCAGGATCAAGGCAAGGAAGCATGCTAAACACCTGTGCCTCCCAATAGCATTCTGGATTCCAGTGATACCAGAAGGCAAGGAAAAGAAATGAGAGATAAAGGCTAGGCATGGTGGCTCATGCCTGTAATCCCAGTACTTTGGGAGGTGAGGCGGGTATATCACTTGAGTTTAGGAGTTCAAGACCAGCTGGGCAACATGGTGAAACCCTGTCTGTACTGAGAATACAGAAAGTTAGCCAGGCATGGTGGTGTGCGCTTGTAGTTCCAGCTACTTGGAAGGCTGAGGTGGGAGGATCACCTGAGCTTAGGAAATTGAGGCTGCAGTGAGCTGTGATCACATCACTGCACTCCAGCCTCGATTACAAGTCAAACTGTCTCCAAAAAAAAAAAAAATTAAAATGTTGTAAAATAATTTAATAAAACTTGATATTCTCATAAATGAAGTTACCTACCACCACTGAAAAAACTGAACTGTTAGGTGGCTAGAAACAACAAAAACATTTGTAAAACAGCTTTCCTGGACATAATAATAGCCAGTTAGAAAAGTAATGAAAAATATGAGCTAATTCACCAGAGCACAAACATAAAATGTCTAGAAGTAAACATATCATCAAGTATATAATACATGAATAAAACTATAGTACTTTACTGAGGGACATAATTTACTGATGGATTGAACCTTGTAAGGGTATCAGTTTTTACCAAATCAGGGTAGTCTAATTAAAATACAAGGCAAACCAAATACCCGGTGACTAAAAAATACAAATCATAATTAGCTGCTTTAAAATTAATAGAAAAAATGCATGAGAATAATCAAGAACATTCTGAAAAAAGTATGAGGCCAGGTGCAGTAGCTCATGCCTATAATCCCAGCGTTTTGGGGAGTCTGAGGCAGGCACATCACTGAAGGTCAGGAGTTCAAGACCAGCCTGGCCAACATGGTAAAACCCTGTCTTCACTACAAATACAAAAATTAGCCAGGCTTGGTGGCAGGTACCTGTAATTGCAACTATTTGGGAGGCTGAGGCATGAGAACTGCTTGAACCCAGGAGGCAGAGGTTGCAGTGAGTCGAGACCGTGCCACTGCACTCAAGCCTGGGCTTCGGACCAAAATTCTGTCTTTTAAAAAAAAAGATAAAAGCTGCTCTCTAAAATACTAAAACTAACAAAACTAGTGCTAAAACTATAAAATAGTTTGCTAATCAATGAAAAACAGATAAATGGACCAGTGGAATGAAGAAAAGTCCAGAAATAAAACTGTATATTTATATAGGAGTTTGGGATATGAAAAAATAGCATTTAAGATCGGTGGGTAACGAGGATATTAAATAAATGTGTTGGTACACTTAGCTATCCACTTGAAAAAATTCCTGCCCTTCACTGAACAACAACAACAGCAACAAGAAATCCTAGATGGATTAGATATTTAAGTGCAAATTTTAAAAAGATTTTTTTCTCATTTGGGAGTGGCAAAAGATTTCCTTAGCAAGATCAGACCTTGGAACCCCTAAAGGATGAAAGTACTTTGCTACAAAAAAATGTTAAAGCCCAGCCAGGGATGGTGGCTCATGCCTGTAATCCCAGCACTTTGGGAGGCCAAGGCAGGTAGATCACTTGAGGTCAGGAGTAAAGACTAGCCTGGCCAGCATGGCAAAATCCTGTCTCTAATAAAAATACAAAAGTTAGCCAGGCCTGGTGGCATGCACCTGTAATCCCAGCTACTCTAGAGGCTGAGATGGGAGGATTGCTTGAGCCTGGGAGGCAGAAGCTGCAGTGAGCTGAGATTGCCCACTGTACTCCAGCCTAGACTACAAAGTGAGACCCTTTTTTAAAATTTTTTTGCCCTATGTGACTAAAAATAACAAAATACGCACACACATGACTAGTAACATAGGTTGTATTATCTGGGCAGTGGAATTATAGGTATTAAAATTTTTTTTGCATAAAAATCTACAGCTACCAAAATTTCTCATGTACTTTTAATATAACCAAAAAAAAAAAATTTTAACTTCAGTGTTCTCAAAAATGAAAATTAGAAATATATAGATCTTTGAAACCTGGGTTATTTTGGAAAAGAATAAAACATAGTTCTAGAGGTTTCATATTTGGGTGATACCTTCTCAGAGAGGGAAATTATCAATAAATGGAGATTAAAAGTCAATAAGTTTACGTTACTAGTTAGTATATACTTCACTGTAACTAAAAAATGATTTCTTAAAAATCGAACCACAGCAAAAAAAAAAAAAAAAAATTGAACCACAGCACATTTGTCCAAATTAGCATGCCTTTGTAAAACTGGTTGTTTTTTTCCTCTAGATGTTGTAATATTAGTTCAGCTGATCACCTGGGTAGTTAGGTGATAGGTGTTTTTCTCTGCTTTAGAAGTGACTTTTTAATTAATTACCTTTAAATGTACAAGAAATTAAGCTTATAATTATGTCCTTAGGATCAAAGTTCTGATCGTACCAGTCTTTCTTCAGTGGGAGCCCAGGATTCTGAATCTACCTCTTTAACAGATGAAGATGTCTGCCATGAGTTGGAAGGAGCTGCTGCTTCTCAAGAGACCAGTGCTACTTCAGGGACTAAGGGAATTGATCTCAGCCAAATAAGCCTGGAAAGTTCTGCCTCCTTGGAAGGTTTGTCCAAACAGTTCTGTCATACTGCATTTGATCTGTAGTTTCGTTTGAATCCTGACACTTTCGCTATTTTCTTTATGATTTAATCTTGTTTTTTAATTTTTATAGTTCCAAAGTCAAAACAATAAAACCAAGGCACTTTCACAAAAGTGTAACTTTCATCCCCACTCCCTCATTCTGTTTTCTTCCTATCCCTAGAAGCAACCATTTTTATTCATTTTTGATTTATCCTTCCATTGTTGTTTTTTTAAGAATATAAATATAGGTACATACTTTTTTTTTTTGTTCTTACTTCCCTGTCTTCTTACTCAAAGGTAACATACTGTCAATACTTTCCTGCCCATTGCTTTTGTCACTTAATATACTCTGAAGACCATTCCATATCATCACATAGCAATGTTCCCCATTCATTTTTTTCAGCTACATAGTACAAAACTATAGTTATACGTCATGTGTGGATGTATCATAATTTATTTTAGCAACTTCCCTAACATTAAGTTTCCAGTTTTTCTAATGCCATAATGCATATATGTTATATTTTTACCAGTGTGTCTTTGGAAGATACTTCAGAATTCTTCCTTGAAGTGATATTGCCAAGTTCCCTTCCTCAGGCTATTTTGCATTCCCACTGCCAGTATATGAGAATACCTATTTCCCCACAGTCTTGTCAACAAAATATGTTGGCACACTTGGATTTTTACCATCTGATAGGTGAGGAATATATTTCAGTTTAGTTTTCATTTCTATTTCTCTTATAAATGAAGTTGAAAATCTGTTTAAGGACCATTTGCATTTCCTTTTCTATGGACTCTGCCTGCATTTTAATTGTTGGTCCTTTTTTTAAAAAAAAAATGTTTTTAGCAGCTTTTTTTTATATTGGGGAGTTAATCCTTTGTTACTTATATAAGTTGCAAGTAGTTTAAGTTTGTTTTTTGGGGGTGGTTTTTTTTTGGCATATGTAAGTTTTAAATTGTATATAATCAAATTTATCAGCCTTTCCCCTTACTGCTTCTGGATTGTGAGTTGCTAGAAAAGGTTTTTCTTTCCTTAAGGTATAAAATAATCCACTAGTAGTTTCTTTTGACACTTGTCTGGTTTCCTTTATAACATTTTCTGAGGTCAGCAGACTTTTTCTGTAAAGCATTATGTAGTAAATATTTTAGGTTTTGCAGGCCACATACACCTCTATCACATATATATTTTTTTAACAACTTTTTTAAATGTAAAAGACACTCGTAGCTCAGGGCAATACAAATAAAGATTTTACCTATGATTTAGATATTTGATCTATATGAAGTTATTCTGAAAAAAAAATAAAATAAAAAAATAAATTTATTCTGGTTAATGGTATGAAGAATGGATTTAATAGAATATTGGTTTTTCAGTTGTATCTTTGGTCTTTTAAAGAGCTTTTATTATGGAAATTTTCAAACATACATAACAGTATAATGAACCCCTATGTATCCATCACCCAACTTCAATAACTATCAACAAATAACCAGTCTTACTTTATCTGTTCATCTTTATCCTCTGCTGCCAGTGTTTTCACCTTCCTCAATTAGTTATTTTAAGCAAATCTCAGACAATGTATAATTTTATTCATAAACACTTCAATATGTATCTCCAAAGTAAAAGACTTGTTATCTATTTTAAACTATTTATTAAAGTGTAACATATAATGTGTCCTTTTTTTTTTTTTTAAGATAGGGTCTCATGCTGTTGCTTAGGCTGGAGTGCAGTGGCACAGTCACAGCTCACTGCAACTGTGATCTCCCATGCTCTAGCCTCAGCATCCCAAGTAGATGGGACTACAGGTGTACACTAGCACACCCGGTTAATTTTTTTGTAGAGACAACATCTTACTATGTTGTACAGGCTGGTTCCAAACTCCTGAGCTCAAGTGATTCTCCCAAGTTGGCCTCCCAAAGTGCTGGGATTACAGGCATGAGCTACCACCACACCTAGCTGTACTTTTATGAATGTAAATGCATTTTACAAATTGAGCACACCTGTGTAACCAGAGTTCAGCTCAAGAAACAGCATTCATAGTATCTAGAACCCTCTCTCATGCCCATGTCTAGTCACTTCTTTCTTTACAGGTAAACATTATCTTAACTTCTGACACCATAGATTCACTTGGCCATTTTTGAATGTTTTATGGGCTCATATTGTATGTATCTTTTGTGAAGTACTTGTTTTTTGAAAACATAATCATAATCAAACTTTTAAGTGATATTTATCATATATATCAAATATTTAGTTTCAGATTTTCATGGTTATGAAGCTCATTTTGTAGGTGATTTATTCAAACTGGGATCCATACAGAGTCAGCATTTGCATTTGACTCTTACGTCTGTTAACTCTTTTTTGTTGTTATTCCCCTTCCTCTCCCTCTTTTTTCTTCTTGCTGTATATTTATGAAGAAATTAGGTGATTAACTCTACTTCCTTCTTTTCTAACATACAAGAACAGTTTGTTGTCTAAGCAAATAACACTAAACTTACAGCCTGATTCACGTTTATTAAAGTGAATATTTATTCTATACTGTAGATCAGTTAGATGCAAAAGGTAGGCTGCTCCAGTAAATGATTGTCTTAGTCAAGGCTAACAGAAGGTATTGGGGGCCGGGCGCGGTGGCTCAAGCCTGTAATCCCAGCACTTTGGGAGGCCGAGGCAGGTGGATCAGGAGGTCAAGAGATCGAAACCATCCTGGTCAACAAGGTGAAACCCCGTCTCGACTAAAAATACAAAAAGTTAGCTGGGCATGGTGGTGCATGCCTGTAATCCCAGCTACTCAGGAGGCTGAGACAGGAGAATTGCCTGAACCCAGGAGGCGGACGTTGCGGTGAGCCGAGATCGCGCCATTGCACTCCAGCCTGGGTAACGAGCGAAACTCCATCTCAAAAAAAAAAAAGAAGATATTGGGAAGCAATTTTGAACTAGCTGTAGCAGAGGGATTACAGAAGGTTTTTGGGAAGAAGCAGCAAGGGAAGAACTGCATTTATACCAGTGCTAAACATCTTAAAGGATGGTGTGAGATTTCAGCTCGTTCTCTGCCTCTCTAGGGTGTCTTTGCGTGGTAGGGACTAGAACTAGTGGTAGTTCTGGACTTTTTGTTTCCTCCTTGTTATTTATTTGCCGAAGCAATCGAGTCATTAGTCTGGATCATGCAGATTGCATCCCTGTGGTGTTGTTTAACATGTTTAACTTTCCCCTCTTACTTGTGGATGGGTAGTTTTTACACCATTAGTTTTTTTTGACCTTTGTTTATTATTATTTTGAGACGGTCTTGCTCTGTCATTCAGGCTGGAGTGCAGTGGCACAGTCACAGCTCACTGCAGCTTCTACCTCCTGGATTCAGATGATCCTCCCACTTCAGCTTCCCAGGTAGCTGCAACTACAGGCACACAGTACCATGCCTGGCTAATTTTTTTGTAGTTTTTGTAGACAGGGTGTTTCACCATGTTGCCCAGGCTGGTCTGAAACTCCCAGGCTCAAGTGATCCACTTGCTTCAGCCTCCCAAAGTGCTGGGATTATAGGGATGGGCCACCATGCCTGGCCTTTTGATCTTTTTTTAAAAAATTAATTAATTTTTTAAAGATGGGGTTTCACCATGTTGGCCAGGCCGGTCTCAAACTCCTGATCTCAGGTGATCTGCCCACCTTGGCCTCCCAAAGTGCTAGGATTACAGGTGTGAGCCCCCATACCCAGCCTTGATCTTTATCTTTATAAAAATACCAGTACACATTCATAAAATTTAGTAATGACAGAGAAAAAAATGTGTTGGGGAGGTATAATACAGATCACCTCCAGTTTTACTGACAAGATACAGTCACTGTCAACTGATTTGACCACAAAACTTTCCTTACTTTTGCATTATTGTTTTAATATCTATACTAATATCCTATTGTTCTTAAGAATATAATTGGGAATTATTCTCTAGTATTTAAGAGCAAAGAGCAAGATTACTATACCCTTTTTTTTTTTTTTTGGAGATAGGATCTCATTCTGCTGCCCACACTCTCATTGTAACCTCAAATTTCTGGACTCAAGCTGTCTTCCTACCTCAGTCTTCCAAGTAGCTGTGACTGTAAGCACAAACCACCACACCCAGCTAATTTTTATTTTTATTTTTTTGTAGAGACAAGGTCTCACTATGTTGCCGAGACTGGTCTTGAATTCCTGGCCTGAAGCAGTCCTCCCACTTTAGCCTTCCAATGTGTTGGGATTACAGGCGTAAGCCACCACACCCAGCTATGCTAGTTCTTAAAAGACCCTTATAAAGAGAGAATTGCCACTAAATCTTTTCATGATTAGAAATAAAAATGAGCTATTTATTTCTTTTTAGACCTTGGAACTAAATACTTTCCTGTATTTTAAACATGAAAAAATAGAAACAACGCATTAGTAATTACTAATGACTAGAAGCTTTCTAATCTGTACACACAAAGTGCTTAATAAGTCAGTAATGAGAGAACACAGCTAAGATGTGGGGAATGTGGGGATAAGTAGAATTAGAGCACATTTCCTTAGGTTTGTGCTAAAAGTGCATGCACTGAAAAAATCTTGTTCGTTATTTATTTGTTTTTCCTAATTACTTTTAATATTTTGACTAGAATAGGTTAACATTTTATCCGAGTACTTATGGAAGTGAAAGATTCTTATATTCTTTCTCATTAATTTTAATGGTTTTTGTTCTTTGTTTTTCACTTCTGAACAGGATCCCTGTCGAAGTTTGCCTTACCTGGGAAATCAGAAGTGACATCTTCTTTCAACACGAGTAATACAAATATCTTCCAGAACTATGCAATGGAGGTACACTTTCGTGTCAAAGAGAATCTTCATATACTGTTTTGCAAAATTCACATTTCTTAAGTATTGCAGGTAGAGTAATAAAAGTTAAATACATAGGCCTGGCATGGTGACTCACATCTTTAATCCCAGCACTTTGGGAAGCCAACGCACGTGGATCACCTGAGGTCAGGAGTTTGAGGCCAGCCTAGTCAGTATGGTGAAACCACATCTGTACTAAAAATACAAAAATTACCCAGGCATGGTGGTGGGGGCCTGTAATCCCAGCTACTTAGGAGGTTGAGGCAGGAGAATCACTTAAACCTGGTGGGCAGAGATTTCATTGAGCCAAGATCACACCACTGTACTCCAACCTGGGAGACAGAGCACTCCATCTCGAAAAGAAAAAAAAGGAAGTTAAATATGTAGCACCTGAAATTTCAGAATGTGAATTGCATTTGAGTAAAGTTAAAATTTAGCTTTTGGATATCCAGTATTTCAGATTATTGAAGTCATACTAACATTTCTTTTAGGACAGTTACATGCTTACTTTGAGATTTATCAACCTACAAAAGCATTTTAATTTTCAGTATTAGTATTTGGGTATTTTTACCTGAATGTTCTATTTGAATGTTTATTTCACATAATAAACACAGTCAGTTTTGCTATGCAAGCATGCTTTTTTGGTGAATATACAGGAAGTAGTTTTGACATTATGTTATCAACTTCTTCCACCATGTTTTTCATTCTTTGTGTCAGTTTGATGTAGATCTCTGCTGGGTATCCGTTTATATCCCACATTCTTAAAATGAAAAAGTTAGACTTTTTCACTTTAAAACTTTTTTCTAATTTTTCTGTAAAAATTGCTTTCAAATACATTTGTGAATATGGTTGCTATTTTATGTTAATTTGCATAAATCTGGAAAATAAATTTGCATACAGCTGAAACATAGATGATGAACACTAACTTTACAAAGTGTCCAGTGGCTTCAAGAATTTCTATATTTTATTAATATATGACAGCATTTGTAGTTATCTATAGTGATACTTACTAAACTGTCTTTAGTAAAAGACCAGGGTTGTTTTTGTTTTGTTTGTTTAATTTCTAATCTGTCATAGCTCATGTTCTTAGAAAATACATTGATTACACACTTAGATGTTACTGCAATATCACAGTACTTTAAAAAGTTTATAGGCTGGGCGCGGTGGCTCAAGCCTGTAATCCCAGCACTTTGGGAGGCCGAGGCGCGTGGATCACGAGGTCAAAAGACCGGGACCATCCTGATCAACATGGTGAAACCCCGTCTCTACTAAAAATACAAAAAATTAGCTGGGCATGGTGGCGCATGCCTGTAATCCCAGCTACTCAGGAGGCTGAGGCAGGAGAATTGCCTGAACCCAGGAGGCGGAGGTTGCGGTGAGCCGAGATCACGCCATTGCACTCCAGCCTGGGTAACGAGAGCGAAACTCTGTCTCAAAAAAAAAAAAAAAAAAAAAAAAAAAAGTTTATAAATCCTCCTCTCAGTTTCTTATTTATCTCATCATAATCCAGTAAGTGTTAGTAGACCAGCACTGGTCTGGCAACCATGCTCTGAGTAGCACTGATTTGTAATATCTAATTGCAAATGCCTGTTTGGAGTATTAACAAATTAATGATTGAGTTTACTTTTCCATTAATAAAACTACAGTAAATTTTACTCTGTAATGAAAAAGAAACCTCACTTAAAAGCAGGCTTCCCTTTCAGGCAAAAATTATGGAATAGATTTAGCTGAATTAGTTAAAGATGATTGTAGTATATAATGCACTGATATAATCCAGTGGTTTTTTTATAGCATCTGAATCCTTCTGGGTTTTAATTTTCCAATGAATTTATGAATCTTAATTGTGTTTCATTTGTAATCTGAATTAACCAGGTTTCTTTATAAAGTGCCATCTTCTCCCATAGGTTCTCATCTCAAGTTGCTCTCGGTGTAGAACTTGTGATTGTCTTGTTCATGATGAGGAAATCATGGCTGGCTGGACAGCAGATGATTCCAATCTCAATACTACATGCCCATTCTGTGGCAATCTTTTCTTACCCTTTCTGAATATAGAAATAAGAGATTTAAGACGACCTGGAAGGTAATGATATTTTTTCCTTCGTGTTTAAGGACCATGTTTCCTACATTATCTATTTTCTCAAAAAGCTCCCTTGATTCACGTTACAGATACTTTCTGAAGTCAAGCCCATCAACAGAAAATATGCACTTTCCATCCTCCTTTTCGAGTCAGACGAGGCAGTCATGCATTTCAACATCAGCCTCTGGTCTTGACACATCTGCTGTCTCTGTTCAAGGGAATTTTGATCTAAATAGGTAATTATGATTATGTGGAACTACATTTTAACAACATATACTTACACATATTTTAGAAGTATGACAGAAAAATTAAGTTGACCATTTCCAGGTTGAAATTTCTATGAATAACAGCTTTAAAATCTTAAAATTCTTGCTCTAAAAACTGTATTAAAATTCTCTAGTAACATAAATGTTTAAATATGAAGTTATATGTTATCCTTATTAATCCCCAGAGTTTAAGCTGTATGTAAGTATGATAATTTTTTTTTTTTTTTTTTGAGACGGAGTTTCGCTCTTGTTACCCAGGCTGGAGTGCAATGGCGCGATCTCGGCTCACTGCAACCTCCGCCTCCCGGGCTCAGGCAATTCTCCTGCCTCAGCCTCCTGAGTAGCTGGGACTACAGGCACGCGCCACCATGCCCAGTTAATGTTTTGTATTTTTAGTAGAGACGGGGTTTCACCATATTGACCAGGATGGTCTCGATCTCTTGACCTCGTGATCCACCCGCCTCAGCCTCCCAAAGTGCTGGGATTACAGGCTTGAGCCACCGCGCCTGGCCTGATAATGTTTACTAGTATTTTAAAGGTAAAAAAAAAAATGTAGAACACTTGAAGTTTATAATGACCATCTTTTTCTTATCTCCATCTCTTCAGGAATTAAGTCAATACTACTGTTCAATATTTAATTTTCTACTTAGTAATATTTAATAATCTGAGAGAATATTTGTAGCTGATATAGGAACTGTGAAATTAAAATAAAATTTATATAATCAGCCTAATATAAGTAAATCTACACTTAAAACCAATGCAAAAATCAACTCCATTTTGCAGAAGTGCCAAATAAGCCATATATAGCTGGAGAGATGAAGCCATATTGGTAGCCGCATGTGCCAAAAAAATTCCTGCATAGTATTGGCAGGCTAATGTGACTTGTTTGATCTTGAATACTTAAGCAGAAAAACTGAAAGTCTATGTGTGCACCTTCTTTCATCATAGGTCTGTTGTAGCCTTGATCTTTGCCTCCTTCTGGATTGTGACTCCTGAAGGAATGTGTCTGTTTTCCCTACTTTATATCCCCATGGTCTAGTTTGCTTTTTGCTGTGTAGAAGTCTACTGGATGTTTTGAATAAATGAATAAATCTTGAATATTTAAAGTTTACTTGATAAAAAAGGAAATTGATCATGACTGTACTAAAAATATATCCTGTTTCCCAGCTGACACCTGAGTAGCATTTCCTTTCATTCATGTTGCTATATCTAGCTGATTCTTTTTTTTTTCTTTTTTTTTTTGGAGACAGAATCTCACTCTTGTCCAGGCTGGAGTGCAGTGAAGCAGTCTTGGCTCATTGCAACCCTCTGCCTCTCGGGTTCAAATGATTCTGCATCAGCCTCCCAAAGCTGGAATCCACCATACCTGGCTAACTTTTGTATTTTTAGTAGAGACAGAGTTTCACCATGTTGGCCAAGCTGCTCTTGAACTCTTGACCTCAGGTGATTTGCCCACCTCAGCATCCCAAAGTGCTGGCATTACAGACATGAGCCACTGCGCCCAGCCATCTAGCTCTGATTCTAAAGAAAAGAACATGGCCAGGTGTGGTGGCCCACACTTGTAATCCCAGCACTTTGGGAGGCCGAAGTGGGCAGATCACTTGAGCCCAGGAGTTCAAGACCAGCCTGGGCAACATGGCAAAACCCATCTCTACTAAAAATACAAAAGTTAGCCAGGCATGGTGGTGTGTGCCTGTAGTCCCAGCCACTCAGGAGGCTGACGTGGGAGAATCACTTGAGCCCAGGAGACAGAGCTGAGATCAGACTACTACAGTTCAGCCTGGGTGACAGAGTGAGACCCTGTCTTTAAAAAAAAAAAAAAAAGAGAGAGAGAACATGATCCTTGTTTGTCAATGAAGTAAAGTAAATCTAGACACTGATATATTTTTTTCTTTTTTTCAATACCCAAGCAAATCTAAACTGCAGGAAAATTTCTGCGCCCGAAGTATTCAGATCCCTGCTAATAGATCAAAAACAGCTATGTCAAAATGTCCAATATTTCCAATGGCCAGGAGTATTAGTACTTGTGGCCCCTTGGATAAGGAAGAAACTGGAAGACAGAAGCTCATTCCTACAGGCAGCCTGCCAGCTACTTTACAAGGAACTACAGTATGTATTTTGGTATATTTTTTATTTGGAAATTGATCACTTATGTATGATTTTGTTCCTCTTGTTCTAAGTAGTCTTACTAGCTAATAGTTATTATTGCCAAGAAGAGTCTCTTATCCCATGATACAATTATATTACTTTTCTACTCATATGGGAATCATTGACAGGAATTTTTTTAATGGCTTAGTATTAGCATTTTGCATTTGCCATTTATGATTTTTATTTATTCAACAGGACTCTTTAGGTTTAGAATGGCATCTTCCTAGTCCCGATCCTGTCACTGTGCCATATCTTAGTCCTTTAGTGGTATGGAAGGAACTTGAAAGCTTATTGGAAAATGAAGGTGATCATGCAATAACGGTGGCAGACTTTGTGGACCATCATCCAATTGTTTTTTGGAACCTAGTGTGGTATTTCAGACGTCTTGATTTGCCCAGTAACTTACCTGGATTGATTCTTTCTTCTGAGCACTGTAACAAGTATTCAAAGGTATGAGACTAAAAATTAACTTAAAGGCAATGAATGCCTCTGTCACAATTGTAATGTTTGTATATTCCTAATGATTAAAAAGCAAGGTTTGTTTTTATGCTAAATATTTTTTTTTTTGAGACAATCTTGTTCTGTCACCAGGCTGGAGTGCAGTTGCACAATTTTGGCTCACTGAAACCTCTACCTCCCAAGTTCAAGCAATTGTCCTGCCTCAGCCTCCTGAGTAGCTGGGACTACAGGTGCGTGTCACCACGCCCAGCTAATTTTTGTATTTTTAGTAGAGACGGGATTTCACCATGTTGGCCAGATGGTCTCCGTCTCTTGACCTCATGTTTCACCCACCTTGGCTTCCTAAAGTTGTGGGATTACAGGCGTAAGCCACCGCATCTGGCCTATGCTAAATATTTTTAATAGCTGACTGGATCATTAGATAAATAAAATTGTTTTAGTTCTATTTACAAATAATATTTTCTCCTTAGAGGCTAGCAATGAGTCATTTTTTAGCCTTCTTCTAAAATTTACATAAAACATAACCTGAATTTTTGTTATCGCTTCAGGAATAAACTGGAAATGACTTCAGGAGGCAGGTTTGTGAGTTAGACCCACTTATATTTTGTACTTCCTTCAGAACAAGCCTAGTGTTTTTTTTGTTTGTTTTTTTGACACAAGGTCTCGCCTCTCTCCCAGGCTGGAGTGCAGTGATATGATCATGGCTCACTGTGACTTCTAACCCCTAGGCTTAAGTGACCCTCCTGTCTCAGTCTCCCAAAGTGCTGGAGTTATAGGCAAGAGCCAATGTGGCCAGCCCAGGGGCTTTTTTAGGAGGATATCTGTACAGCAGTCCCCCCTTATTCACTGTTTTGCTTTCCAAGTTTTCAGTTACCCATGGTAACTGTGGTCTCAAAATATTAAATGGAGACATCCAGAAAGAAACATTTCATAAGTTTTAAATTGCATGCTGTTCTGAGTAGCATGATGAAATCTTGTGCTGTCCCATCTGAGATGTGAATCATCTCTTTGTTCAGTGTATCCACACTGTGTATGCCACCTGCCTGTTAATCATTTGGTAGCCATTTCTGTTATTAGATCAACTGTGATGGTATCACAGTGCTTGTGTTCATGTAACTCCTATTTTACTTAGTGGTCCCAAAGGAGAAAGCAGTGATGCTGGTATATTGTTTGAATTGTGCTATTTTATTATTAGTTATTGTTAATTTCTTATGCCTCATTTATAAATTAAATATTATAAGTATGTATGTATAGGAAAATACAGTATATATGGGTTCAGTACTATCCACAGTTATAGGTATCCATTGGGGGTCTTGGAATGTAGCCCCTTGAGGATAAAAGGGGACTATTGAAATTCATATTGCAGTTATGTGCTACCATTCTTGGCATTCCTTTGCTCTGAATTTTTGCTTAACATTTAGGCAATTTGTTTATTATATGTTCATTTGTATTTCTGTCATGTTGTTTTATAAAAGTGCCTTTACTTTTTCGTATACTGCCACTGCCACTGAATGGTGGTCTCTAAGTTCAGGAACGTTACCTTCTCCCTTCTTGTACTGCATGCCTGTGATTGTGCATGTGCTTTGGATTTTCAATACATCATACTTGAGTGACAAAGATATGTACTCACCGTTATCTGGGCCAGGGTGTTGGATGATGTAGAATGGGCCTCCTGGGTTTATGTTTCTGTGACTTTCAATCATGAGCAGGAGGAGCAAGATGAGTTCTTCTTAATACCCTTTCTCACTGATGTCAAGTACGTTGTTATATCTGATCTTTAGAGATCATTAGCTTTTCCACACAGCCCATCTTCCTGTAGTAGATACCAAATGTATGTAATTCAGTCTTTTTCTGTTATCTTTTCTCCATCATATATACATCATCCTAAAAAATATTTATAAGAATTTTATAAAATACTTATAAAAAAGTATCATGTAAGGTTCATTAATGAATGTTTATTGTATTACACAGATTCCCCGACACTGTATGTCTGAAGATAGCAAATATGTTTTAATACAAATGTTATGGGATAATATGAAGTTACATCAGGATCCAGGACAGCCCTTGTACATCCTCTGGAATGCACACAGTAAGTGCCATCTAGGATGCTGACTTTATTCATATGAGAGTAATCTCTACTTGCTTTAAATAGCCTAAACCTATGATAGAATTTATTTGCTGGGAAGAAAAAAAAATAGCCTAAACCAATGTATAACTGACTTTTATTTTACTGTACTACTTTTTGTCTTACAGGTCAAAATCGTACTCTTTTGTTTGAGAGTGAGTCATTTTTTTAGTGCTACCTTCTATGGAGGTCTAAGGGTTTTTTTGTTTTTTGGGTTTTTGTTTTTTGTTTTTTTTTTTTTGAGGGGTGCTGTGTATGTGCTGGAGGGGTTGGTTGTGTTTTGCAGAATTCAGCTTTCAGCACATTGCTCATCCCAATTTCCTCTTTTTACTTATTTTTTATTTGTTTCCATCCCAGGCTGCTGATTTAGAATTTTCTTCAGAGGCTGTATTAAGGGAAACAGTATTTTTAGTTACTGTCTATTTAAGATTACAGAAAGCTTTAGGCCTTTTTTTGTCATTATTTGTCTTATTTTTTTGCTTTCTTCATTCTTGGATTCCTATTTCTTTATCTATTGCCCTTGATTTATTTTTAGTGCTTTGTAACTTAGTATCTGTCAGTTGCTGCTTAATTTTTTTCTCCTTTCTACACGGAACATTTTCCTTTATCTGTTCTTTTGTTCTTTTACAGCCCAAAAATATCCCATGGTCCATTTATTGCAAAAAAGTGATAATTCATTTAACCAGGAACTGTTGAAAAGTATGGTAAAAAGCATTAAAATGAATGACGTCTATGGACCAATGAGTCAGATTTTAGAGACACTGAATAAGTGTCCACATTTTAAAAGACAGAGGTACGTCCTTCTCTTAGATGAATATATTATTCTCCTGGGCAGATTCATATTGTTTGCTTCATAATTTGTGAGAATATCTCATGCTTACATTAGCATAAAAATTTTTATAGGGAACATATAGGCTATATGGATACTAATATTTCCTCCATGACTTTTTCTCCCTAGGAGTTTATACAGAGAAATACTGTTTCTCTCACTTGTGGCACTGGGAAGAGAAAACATTGATATAGGTAATTTAGCCTTATATATAATAGGTAATATTTATATATCACAGAATAGTTTTCAAAGTATTTTTATATTAGTAATCTTACTTTATTAGTAATATTAAATCATTTTAATTTATTAGAGGATTATTTATTGATTTGTTTTTGTTCTAATGTAAAAGGTACTTTGATACTTTGGTTATGGCAATAATAATGATAAGTAATAAAATCTAACATTTTTTGAGGGTTTTTCCTGTTTGCCTCACAGTGTGGCAAGTGCTTTTCATGTATTACCTCATATAATTCTCCCAAAAGTCCTATGAGATAGGGACTATTACCATTTCCACATTTTTTTTTTTTTTTTTTTTTTTGAGACAGAGTTTCGCTCTTGTTACCTAGGCAGGCTGGAGTGCAATGGCGCGATCTCGGCTCACCGCAACCTCTGCCTCCTGGGTTCAAGCAATTCTCCTGCCTCAGCCTCCCAAGTAGCTGGGATTACAGGCACGCACCACCATGCCCAGCTAATTTTTTGTATTTTTAGTAGAGACGGGGTTTCACCATGTTGACCAGGATGGTCTCGATCTCTCAACCTCGTGATCCACCCGCCTCGGCCTCCCAAAGTGCTGGGATTACAGGCTTGAGCCACCGCGCCCGGCCATTTCCACATTATTATCGAGGATCCTGAGGAACTGTGAGGTTTAGTAACTTTATCTCAGAATTCACAGTAAATAATAGAGCCACACGTCAACCAAGTAGTCTTAATTTTTCCAATCTCATGCTTCTAACTTGTGTCATAGCATTGACATTAAGCTTATTCAGAAAGAATGCAAGGTAGTTAAATATATATTTTAGAAGTTTTCAAGCTTTATGGTTGATCATCTCCTCCCAGCTGTCATGTTTGACATCCCTTAAATTTCTACTTCAAACCCTAAGAAAGGACAGAAATGGCCCCTCATAGGCAAAAAGAAGAAAATTAGTGGCAGACTTAATTAATCAGTTAATTTTATTTATTTATTTTTTTTTAAAGACAGGGTTTCACCATTTTCGCCAGGCTGGTCTTGAACTCCTGACCTCAAGTGATCCACCCGCCTTGGCCTCCCAAAGTGCTGAGATTACAGGCATGAGCCACTGTGCCGGCCAGTTTAGATGACTATCAGGCATTGGGACATTCAAGCAGAGTTTTGGCATTCTGTTTTGAGACTTTATAATATTATGAATATGTTAATGAAAATGATAATTGATATATGTAATTCACCTGACTTGAGTGGGATATAATTTGGATGCCCTATTTAAGCCCTGTCATCAGTTAATGAGAGAATAAATAATAGATCATGCTTCTATTAGATTATTTTACACTGATTTTAAGAAAAACAAATCTAGTTATTTGGCATCAGTGCTTCAGTTGACTTCTAAAGGCCCACAGCCATTTATTAGTGGCATTAGTCAAATGATGATGATGTATAATAAGCATATGCACTATTACAAGAAGCAGTTAGACCAGATGGGGCATGAATAGAGAACAAGGGCTCCATGGTGCTCGCTTCCCAATAAGTTCACTGAGGGATGGGAGCAAGAGCAAGAGCTAGAGAGTGAAGTAGGGAGCTGAGAGAACCATCCCTAATTGGTATCTCAAGGAGTTATCAGGTGCCATCTGTCCAGAGGTGACCTGTGCCACTGGGAACTGTCAGCCTTGATGCCATGAGAAAGATTGTAGAATATGGAAGCAAAGGTATGTATAGGTGAAATAGCAAATGTCAGACAGAATGGAATTATTACATGAGTGTGGTATTTTAAATAAAACAAATATTTAAAGGACAAAGAGACTTTGTTAGAAAATGTATCTGCTCATATAGAAGATATAAACGGGAAATTTAGCTTTCGCTAAAATGGCCTTAAAAAGTTTAGCTATAAATCCAAGACAAATAGAGATCAGTGTCTAATATCTTTTTTTTTTTTTTTTGAGGCGGAGTTTCGCTCTTGTTACCCAGGCTGGAGTGCAATGGCGCGATCTCGGCTCACCGCAACCTCCGCCTCCTGGGTTCAGGCAATTCTCCTGCCTCAGCCTCCTGAGTAGCTGGGATTACAGGCACGCACCACCATGCCCAGCTAATTTTTTGTATTTTTAGTAGAGACGGGGTTTCACCATGTTGACCAGGATGGTCTCGATCTCTCGACCTCGTGATCCACCTGCCTCGGCCTCCCAAAGTGCTGGGATTACAGGCTTGAGCCACCACTCCCGGCTAATATCTTTGTTTTAAAAAAAGAAAGTACAACCCAGAGAACTATAATTAGGGAACACCGTACTTGGAAGTCACATTAAAATGATCACTGGCCAGGTGCAGTGGCTCACACCTCTAGTCCCAGCACCTTGGGAGGCTGACGTAGGCAGATCACTTGAGCCCAGGAGTTGAAGGCCAGCAAGGAAACTTGGCAAAACCCTGGCTACTATAAAACATACAAAAGTTAGCCATGGTTGATGGTGCATCCCTGTCGTCTCAGTTACTTGGGATGTTGAGAGTCGAGAATCACTTGAGACCCTGCGTGAGCCAAGATCATGCCATGCCACTCCTGCCTGGGTGACAGAGTGAAACTCTGTCTCAGTCAGTCAGTCAGTCAGTCAATAAGGGAAAATATGGAGAAGTTCCAGTAGAAGGGTAAAAATTATTTCGAGTTAAGGAATATTTGATGGAGAAGGCTGAAGGAAATATAGTCATGTTTAACCTATAATTTTGTTTGTAAACAAGTATCATATGAGTGTGTTGAGCTGTCTTTTCCATTAATATGGGTTTAAATTGCAATTGCACCTGGGCGTGGTTGCTCATGCCTGTAATCCCAGCACTTTGGGAGGCTGAGGTGGGAGGATTGCTTGAGCTCAAGAGTGCTAGACCAACCTGGGCAACATAGTGAGACGCCATCTCAAAAAACAACAACAACAACAACAAAAACTTCTAAGGGCAGTCCAGGCAGAAAAGAGAACAGCTGGGATTACAGGCAGTTTAGGATGGCTGAAATTGTGAACATCGTGGTTGAAAACATAGTGTCAGATCATGAAGGACTTTGTATGAAATATTAAGGCTGTGGACTTTATGCTGAAAGTGAGGAGGAGTCTCCAAATAATTAATCAGGAAAGTGTCAAGACTTAGCAAAAATACAAATTTGATGGCAGGTTTCACTAAGAAGCTAGAGTGGGTTGAAGGTGGAGAAAAGGCCAGTCAAAAGATGATTGAGAAATAAAAGCTTAACTAGGGATGGTAACAAATTTAAAACTTGTTATGAGGAAGAATTAAAACAGTATGATGATGCTATGTATGTGGACGATGACTCCCAAGTTACTATCTTGAATAGCTATCTATAAAATTCAGGAAATCTAAAAGATGAGAAGGCTAGAGAAGACGATGAGTTTAATTTTGGGTATTTTTCACCTGCTGAACTATTGAGACATCCAAGCCTAGATGGCCTAGAAGCATTTAATATATACTGTCCTGGAGCTCCAGAGAGAGAGATCAGGGTTGGAAACATAGATTTAGGAATCAATAGCATTCACGGTGATTGAAGCCTTGCCAGGAAATGACATCCCTTAAGGAAAGTGGTTAAGTGATACAGGAGGGTGTATAAAAAAGAAACTCTGGGGAACATCAGGGACAGAGAAAGTAGAGCCCATAAACACAAATGGGAAGAACAGGATCCATGAGAGGGGATGGAGAATGATAAGGAAAAAAAGAGTGGTAGAAATTGAGAAAAGAGCATGTTTCAAAGAGAAAGGCATTTTTGGTAGTTTTGAAATTAAAATTTTCAAGTAGCTATTGAGTAAACAAATTATCTGTAACAGAAGAGTATAATTATTTGTAAAAATTTTAATTAGAATTTTTATTTTAGAATTTCACATTAAATAATATTTAGTGATACACAGAAAGAAAAATATCACATGTTCTCACTCACACGTGAGAGCTAAAAACGTGGATCTCCTGGAGGTGGAGGATAGAACGATGTTTCCTGAGACCGAGAAGGGACACTGTGGGAGAACGAAGAAAAGCTGGCTAATGGCTACAAAATACAGTACAATAGAAGGAACAGCTCTAGTGTTTGATAGTACAGCTGATAAGTTATAGTTAAGAATAATTTATATACATATGTATGTTTCAAAACAGCTAGAAGAATAGAATTGTAATGTTCCCAACACAAAGAAAAGAATGAGTGTTTAAGATGATGGATATCCCAGTTGACCCAAGTTATATAATGTGTGATTTGATCATTGGGGTACATGTATCAAAATAGCACATGTACTCCAAAAATATGTACCATGATATAGTAATAAAAAATAACATGAAACAAAAAAAACTGCTGTTGCAACCAGGGAACTTTGAGCAGAATGTTTTGAGTAGTAGTTTTTTACTTTACTGGCTGTGAACATTAGAGACTATTAAAAATAAGGAATTTGACCAATGATCCTAATGTTCAGCTGGAAAAATAATCATGCATGAATAGTCAGAAATCAAAAATGCATAAAAAAAGAAACAATAAGGGAGGGTCTGGTATGGTGGCTCACACCTATAATCCCAGCACTTTGGGAGGGTGAGACAGAAGGACTGCTTGAGCCCAGGAGTTTGAGGCCAGCCTGAGCAACATAGCGAGACCCCATCTCTACAAATTAAGAAACAACAAGGGAATTTAAAGGGTATGCTAGAAAATAGCTAGTTAACACAAAAGAAAGAGTAATTGAGGAAGAAGAAAGACATAAAAAACAAAAAGCAAAATTGCAGATGTAAATTCTACCTTATTAGTAATGACATTAAATGTAACTGGATTAAACTCCACCTAAAAGGCAGATTAGAAGAATGGATTTTAAAAAGTAATCTATAGGCCCGGCGCAGTGGCTCAAGCCTGTAATCCCAGCACTTTGGGAGGCTGAGGCGGGTGGATCACGAGATCAAGAGATCGAGACCATCCTGGTCAACATGGTGAAACCCCGTCTCTACTAAAAATACAAAAAATTAGCTGGGCATGGTGGCACGTACTTGTAATCCCAGCTACTCAGGAGGCTGAGGCAGGAGAATTGCCTGAACCCAGGAGGCGGAGGTTGCAGTGAGCCGAGATCGTGCCACTGCACTCCAGCCTGGGTAACAAGAGTGAAACTCCGTCTCAAAAAAAAACAAAACAAACAAAAATAATAATAAAATAAAAAATAATCTATATACAAGAGACACACTTTAGATTCAAAGACACAAATGACTTGAAAGTAAAAGTACTGAAAAAGATATTCCATGCAAAGAGTACTCAAAAGAGGGCTGAAGTGATTATACTAAAATCAGACAAAATAGACTCTAAGACATAAGCTAGCCTGGGGAGCATGGTAAAACCCTGTCTGTATAAAAAACACAAAAATTAGCCAACCATAGTGGTGTACACCTGTATTCCCAGCTACTCAGGAGGCTGAGATTGAAGGATAGCTTGAGCCTGGGGAGGTAGAGGTGGCAGTGAGCTAAAACTGCACCATTGTATTCCAGCCTGGGTGACAGAGCAAGACCCTTCTCAAAAAAACAAAAGCTGTGACTGGAGACAAAAAAAAAAGGGGGATATTTTATAATGATAAAAGAGCAAATCCACCAAGAAAATATAATAAACATTTATAATATATATACACACACACATATGTTAGAAGAAAATTTAGGTGTAAATCTTCATTACTTTAAATGAAGCAGGTTAAGCAGTGGTGTCTTAAATAAGATACCAACAGCACAAGCAAGCAAAAAAATAGAAAATAGGTAAATTGGACGTCAAAATTAAATAAAACATTTATACCTCATAGGGCACTATTAAGAAAGCTAGGCTGGGCATGGTGGCTCATGCCTATAATCCCAGCACTTTGGGAGGCGAAGGTGGGTGGATCACAAAGTCAGGAGATCAAGACCATCCTGTCTAACATGGTGAAACCCCATCTCTACTAAAATACAAAAACTTAGTTGAGTGTGGTGGCACGCACCTGTAGTCCCAGCTACTCAGGAGGCTGAGGCGGGGGAATCTCTTGAACCTGGGAGGTAGAGGTAGCAGTGAGCTACCACATTCTAGCCTGGTGATAGAACAAGCCTCTGTCTCAAAAAAAAAAAAAAAAAAAAAAAAAAGTGAAAAAACCCACAGATGAGAAAATATTTGCAAATCATAGTATCTGATAAAGCGTTGTTATTCATTATACATAAGGAACTTTTACACTTGACGATAAAATCATATAATCCAATTTAAAAACTGGCTACTTGCCAAGCACAGTGGCTTATGCCTGCAGTCCCAGCACTTCGGGAAGCTGAGGCAGTATGATTGCTTGAGGCCAGGAGTTTGAGACCAGTGTGGGCAACATAGTGAGACCCCATCTCTAAAATAATTTTTTTTTTTTTTTGAGACGGAGTTTTGCTCTTGTTACCCAGGCTGGAGTGCAATGGCACGATCTCGGCTCACCGCAACCTCCGCCTCCTGGGTTCAGGCAATTCTCCTGCCTCAGCCTCCTGAGTAGCTGGGATTACAGGCATGTGCCACCATGCCCAGCTAATTTTTTGTATCTTTAGTAGAGACAGGGTTTCACCATGTTGACCAGGATGGTCTCGATCTCTTGACCTCGTGATCCACCCGCCTCAGCCTCCCAAAGTGCTGGGATTACAGGCTTGAGCCACCGCGCCCGGCCTATAATTTTTAAATAAAATAAAAATTGGCAAAGGGTTTGAATAGACATCTGTCCAAAGATTTACAAATGACTAATAAGCACATGAAAAAACGCTCAACATCCTTAGTCATTAGTGAAATGAAAATCAAAACCACAATGATTTACTGCTTCACACCCACTAAGATGGCTATGATAAGAAAAATAGAAAATAACAAGTGTTGCCAAGGTGTGGAGAAATTGAAACCTTCATATGTTGCTGGTGGGAATATAAACTGGTGTATCCATCATGGAAACAGTTTTGCATTTCTTCAAAGTGTTAAAGTTACCATATGACCTAGCAATTCTGCTCTGAGGTATAAACCCAAGAGAACTGAAAACATATATTCTTGCAGAAACTTCTGCATGAATACTTACAGCAATATTATTTATAATAGCCAAAAAAGTGGAGAGAACCCAAACGTGTATCACCTGATGAATGAGTAAACAAAATGTGGCATACTTATACAGTGGAATGTCATGCAGTCATAAAAAGAATGAAATACTGATACGTGCTACAATATGGGTTTACCTTGAAAACATTATGCTTAGTGAAAGAAGCCAAACATTAAGCATATATGAAATGCCCAGAAGAGGAAAATCTATAATTATAGTTGATAGATTAGTTGTTGCTAAAGACCAAAAGGTAGGGTGAATAGGGAGTGATTGCTAACTGGTATAAGGTTTCTTTTTGGTGAGATGATCTGGAATTAGGCAGTGGTGATAGTTGTACGATCTTGTGAATAAACCCCAAAAAATTTATTAAGTTGGGCCGGGCGCGGTGGCTCACGCCTATAATCCCAGCACTTTGGGAGGCCGAGGAGGGTGGATCACAAGGTCAAGAGATCGAGACCATCCTGCTCAACAAGGTGAAACCCCGTCTCTACTAAAAATACAAAAATTAGCTGGGCATGGTGATGCGCGCCTGTAATCCCAGCTACTCGGGAGGCTGAGGCAGGAGAATTTCTTGAACCCAGGAGGCGGAGGTTGCGGTGAGCCGAGATCGTGCCATTGCACTCCAGCCTGGGTAACAAGAGCGAAACTCTGTCTCAAAAAAAAAAAAAAAAAAAAAAAATGTGTTAAGTTAGTGAATTGTATGGTATATCAATTGTATCTCAATTTTTAAAAGTTAATCTGACAAGAAAAGGACAAATCAGGAAAAATTAACTAAAAAGGGGTCGGGTGTGGTGGCTTACGCCTGTAATCCCAGCACTTTGGGAGGCCAGGGTGGTAGATCACTTGAGTCTAGGAGTTCGAGAGCAGCCTGGGCAACATGGTGAAACCCTGTCTCTACAAAAAAATATGAAAGTTAGCCATAGGTAGTGGCACATGCCTGTAGTCCCAGTTACTTCAAAGACTGAGGTGAGAGTATCATGAAAGACTGAGGTGAGAGTCTCATGAAAGACTTCAGGTGAGAGTCTCATTTGAGTCTTCACCGTCAAGGCTGCGGTGAGCCATGACCATGCCACTGCACTCCAGCTTGGGCTATAGAGCAAGACCTTGTCTCATAAAGAAACAATCACCAGAAGGTTATTCTTTTCTAGAAGCTACTCTAATTACATCAGCTTAATGCTAGCACAGGCAGAGCTAGAAAAATCAGTAGTACAGAATAAGAAGTCTAGAAATACAAGTATCTATGGGTATATAATATGAAATCAGTTAGGAAAGGTAGACTATTAAATGGTATTGAGGCAAACATTCTAGCCACTTGAGGAAGATGCCAGAACTTACCAAAATCATGAATAGTGTTATTTGAGCTAGGCCTTTTAAATATAGTGAAACAGAGAGGCTACCAAAAAGGATTACTCAGATCCTTGTTGCCATCCCTTTATTCCCTACCTAATACAAGCTCAGATTCCAGTCAGATATTACTCTAGCCCTCTGCCAAAGGTGGGATTTCCTTCAATGTCTAAAAAATTCTGGACCTCCAAGCTAGGGAAGCTCGCTTGCTCATGCAGTTGACTCTCAACTCAAACAAGCCTTCATGGGTACCACTGTGATACTGTTTCAGAGAAGAAAGTTGTTCTTATGTCTGTTACCTCCCCAAAGCTGAAAAATAGGATCTTAGTGACATTGTTATAATTTATACCCCATTTGGCTCTCTAAGGGGCAAATTTTTCTCTAGTATGTGTTTAAAATAAGCAATAAGTTAGCATGATTTCTAGACTGAGAGAATTTTTTAGCAAAAACTTGTAAACCTCTGTTGTCTCTTTTTGTTACGTGTGGACTGTCTTTTGGGGAAAACGCACATAGACCTTGGTATGATGTCCTTAAAAATAAAAGTCACAGTCTGTTAGCTCCATCTGTTGCTGTGAGGTAAAAGGGGAAAAAAATCATGGCATGGTGATCTCAGAAGATCTTCAGATTATTTTCCCAGAGGCATTCCATAATATAGGAAGTTTAGGACACACAAACCAAAAAAATTCCAGTTGAAGCAAATTTAAATTTAAAAAATGAAACCATAAAAGGGCAAAGAAAATATGGGCAAAAAGCTTTTTGCTAATCCTGGTGGGAAAAGGCCATTATTTATTTTTACTGTTTTTATTGATTATAGAAAGCAAAGTATCAAAAAAGTGTGTGTGGTATTTGGTGGTTTTTAACATCTGTACCTGGGAAAATTAAAGATATCTTCAAACCTTTAATTTTCACTGGTCTGTGCAATCCAACTGTGGTCCTTCAGATAGCAGAAATGTCCTAGCAATTCCTTCTTGACCTTTAATGTTGTGTTTCTGTAGTATTATAGAAACTTGATAGTTTTCAACATCAGACCTAAACTTCTTTATGCTTTTATTTCTTTATGAATTTTTGCAGATGCTTTTGATAAAGAGTACAAGATGGCATATGATCGCCTCACACCTAGTCAAGTCAAGAGTACACACAATTGTGATAGACCACCAAGTACGGGGGTGATGGAATGTCGAAAAACCTTTGGAGAACCTTATCTTTAAGATGTATTTGTATGTGTAAACATTCAATGTATATTGTATAGTCAGTGTATAAAATAACACTTTTAGACCCTAAATATTTTTTCTTCAATTTTTGAAAATACAATTTGTAAATGGTTCAAAAGAGACAGCTTATGTACAGAATGTTTGAAGATGCAGATAGTGACAAGTGGGGAGAAAGCCACTTTGTTTCTCATTTCTTTTTTTTTCTTCTTCTTCTTCAACTCTCCTGTAATAGGTAATTAAGTATTTTTGTGATGAGGAAATCCCTAAACGAAATTAGTTGCCATAAAATATGACAACTGTTTTATGTTTTATCTTGGAAGAGACAAATTGAAAAATCATGAATGGAATCTAACAGAAATGTCAGATGAAAGTATTTCCTCTTTTAATAGACTGTTCAAATGCTTTGACCACGAAGTTGTATTATACATATTTTAAATTGTTTATAGTAAGTTGATATTTTTTTAATTTTTAAATTTAATATAGCAAACTTAAAATGAATTTAAACTTAAGAAGCAAGCAAGCGTGTATTTTCCTTGTCTGCTACTATTTGAAGTAATCAGTACAGCTGCAGATCTCTCTGTGTGTATATCTATCTATATATATATTTTTTATTACTTGGGAGAATGAATTTTAAAATGTCAGTGCTAGTGTCAGTGTTGTCCGAGGATTGCATGTTCCCCTAAGCCTGAGTGCAGGGAGTGAGTCATGGCAAGGGTAGCGTGCACTGCCCAGACTGACTCATGGAGCCTTGTGCAAGGACAGCCAGAGAGATTCACTATACTGTGACTCCAAAATTGTCTCTATTGCTAATAGATACATATAGTATACAGGGAAAATAGCTTATACATCCAAATATCAATTTAAATTTTAATATTCTATGTGAAAACTTACATTGGGAAATATGCAGACAAATGATTGTATTCCAAATTTTACCCTTATTTTAAAATCCAAAATATTGGATATGATGCAAATTATACTATAGAATATTTATCTGAAATGTGACTTGCTGGGTTATTCTGTTAATACTATATATAAATATCCAGAAGTAGAAAACTTCCCCTCTAAAAGTATAGCCAGATAGACTTTCATCCATATTGAGGAACTTAGCTTTTTCAACAAGCTTCAGAATCTGAAGTCTGTAGAATCTAAATGCAGAAATATCCAGAAATCAAACAATAAATTGAAAGTTTAAATATCATGAGTATTAAATAGGCTTTAAAAGTATTTTTTTAGTCACATTATTTCTGATGTCACTTTGGGTAATTTCTGGTAAAGAAAAACATCTTTTGGCTGCTAGAACTATTTATAGATTTTTAATATGTGTGTGTGTTTGCACACATTATCATTAGTAAATGAAACCTCTAGCTAATTTTAAGAAGGAAAAAATGGACACTCCCAAATTAGATGTGTAAAGCCAGTGGAGTCCACAACACTTGGACTGGAGATACCTTGGAGTCCTGAGACCTAGAATCAGTTCAGCTGCAGAAAACCCACCTTTTGAGTTCACACCGCTAGTGAATAGCACCAAGCTGAAACATTTCACAGCTTTCAACTCTGGAAAATAATGGAGAGAATTTAAAAATGTCAACTTCAGTTCAGTTAGTTTGGGGCTGAACTTGCTTACTTGAAAAATCTGGTGCTAGGCACATATATATGCCTCTCCTTTGTAAATACCACTCCAATCTTATTCTTTACTATTCAAATCCAAGCTTCACGTTCTACTTGTTCTTCATGTTCTTTAAATCATTTGAAAGTTGTCAACTGAGAGAAACATTTGAAGGGCTTTTGGCCTGGTGATAAATATCCCTCCAAACAGGATTCTGGGGTTCTCTTCTATTTGTGGTTGGTTGTTTTTAATCTTTTAAAAACAGCTTTCACTGTTGTTTACTTTTTGTGTAATACAAACAAAATGTAGGAATCAAAGTTTATTGATTTCAAATGGCTGACAAAAAAGAATGAGATAAAACCATTCTTTATGGCTTTATGATTCAGACTCATTTGGAAAACAGGATGTAATTTTTACATACTCCTTCCACCCCAAGTTTTGTTTCCGCTTTTGGAGAAGGTTATATTTCCCCTACTTTTAATCCCCAAGAAATATTATTGTAGAGATTTAGTCTTTTAAAATAAAACCTAAAACATGAATACAAGGTGGTAAACCTGTTCAAAAGAAAATTAAAATATGAATCATTCTTGGGCTGAGCATGGTAGCTCATGGAGGCCTGTAATCCCAGCACTTTGGGGGTCTGAGGCAGGGAGGACTCCTTGAGTCCAGGAGTTCGAGACCAGCCTCAGCAACACAGAGACTCTGTCTTTTTAAAAAAATTTTTTTAATTAGCTTGGCATGGCAGCTCATGCTTGGTAATCCCAGCTATGCTGGGAAGCCGAAGCAGGAGGATCACTTTGAGCCTGGGGGTCTGAGGCTGCAGTGAGTTGTGATCACGCTACTGCACTCGAGTCTGGATTACATAGCAAGACCCTGTCTCAAAAAAAGAAAACAGAAAATATAAATCATCCTTTAAAATAACTCTACATAAACTCTTCTTCAATTTTCCCTCTGTTAACCGTACATTTTGGAGAATAATGGCCAATCATGTTGGAGAGAAATACCCTTTTGCTACATTATCTTATTTTCTTACTCTTAGTTTTGTTTATATGTTCAAATTGTTGACAATAAACCATGTCCTGTGCTGATAATAGCTTGTTTACTACGTTCTACCATTATGTTCTGAATGGCACACATTTGTATTCCATATCGTATTTCAGATACTCTACTTTTTCCTCCTGCTGTTAGGTGGACAGATATGCAGCCATTCATCTTCTGATTTTTGTCTTCTTTTCCCTGACTTTCTTGGGGTTTTGATTTTTGTTTTGCTCTAAAACCCTAACACCACTAGCATATTTAAGTGTAAGGTTTTCAAGTATATCGCCCCATTTGTGTATTTAGAGAAACGGTCCCAGAAAACATTGGTTCAACATTTTAGGCAGTAAACACTTATTTTTACTTGATGCGATAATTACTATGATATTTAAGTGCAACCAGCAAGTATTAGCCAGCTCTATATAGAAGTTATGCTTTATTTCTAAATAGAGGCTGAGCTCCTGGAATCCAAATGTTCAAAAATCCAAAACTTATTGAATACTGACATGATGCTGAAAGGAAATGCTCCTTTAAGCCTTCTGGATTTCATATTTGGGATGTTCAACCAGTTTGTATTCTTCAAATATTCCAAATTTCAAAAAAATCTGAAATCCAAAACACTTCTGGTCCCAGATATTTCTGAGAAGGGATATTTAGCCTGTACTTTGTAAGCATGTGGTATGAAAATACCTATTTGTTTGGAAATGTGCAGTAGCCCAGCTTTATTTTTATTTCTCTCACTAGAACTTGAAAGCTGCTATTTGGCACTTTATCTCAGAGCAGGAAGAGAAAGAGCAGACTGTCTCTTTGAGAGAACCCTTGTCCTTTGTGATAATGTTAGCATGCACTGCCTCTTCCTGTCTGGATACAAGACTAAGCTTTATTTCAAAACTGAACTCCCTAGCAGCTGCATAGCAGTTTACCTTAATATCTTTAGTACTTGGTATCTTATCCTCATACTACCTTGCTCCTTTGGCCTCAGAGTAAACATATTTGGTAGCCTAATTATTTTTGTTTACAAAATTAGCAGTACACATCTTTAAGAATTTTAATCTTTGATTACAGAAGTCTGTGCATGTGCTTTTGTACTCAGATGGTAATAGCCTCTTCTGATAAAGTTACTGTTGCCTTTCTACAGTTCCCGTTCATTTGGATGGCTCTCTCCTTTTGTATTTAGAGATTTCTTTTCAAATGTAGTACTGTCATAAAACTATTGCCACAAATGGTAGGTTTTCTGCAAATGAAATTCTCCAGGTTTTGCTTACTCATACAGGGAAGGGCCTGAAGACCAGAAGTGTGCCTTTAGTTGTGCAGGCAGACTTGGGCCGGGATGTCCTGTAGGCTTTTGTGAACCCCCAATGATAGACAGCTCTGCTCATGAGCCCTCTCATTACACCTTTCACAGCATCCAGTCCCCTACACACAGCTGCACCTGCTGGGGGACCCTCCCACCAAAAAAGGGCCAGAACCAAAAGTATTCATTGGCACATAAGGACAACCAGTACTTTACCAGGCTGGTATTACATTCCAATTCCTACCTCCCTTTGGTACTCAGTCTTTAAATAAATAATATTGATATAGACAGCTATAAAAGACCATGCCTGTAATCTGGTAAAACCATTTTCATATCTATTGATGACAGTGCCATATAATGTTCAAAATGTATAGTAACCATTTTGGTTGGGTACAGTGGTTCACGCCTGTAATCTCAGCACTTTGACAGGCCAAGGCAGGTGGATTGCTTGAGCTCAGGAGTTCGAGACCAGCCTGGGCAACATGGCAAAACCCCATCTCTACAAGAAAATACAAAAATTAGCTGGGTGTGGTGGCACACTTCTGTAGTCCCAGGTACTTGGTGGGCTGAGGTGGGAGGATCCCTTGAGCCTGAAAGGTGAGGCTACAATGAGCCATGTTCATGCCACTGTACTCCAGCCTGGGTGACAGGGCAAGGCCCCGTATCTTTAAAAAAAAAAAAAAAAAAAAGTAAACCATTTAAATATGTAACAGTTTCAAAAACTTGGAATACGTCTCCTTTTTCTGATACTATATAGGATCTCTACCCCATTAAATTGGGAAGAATTTAGAAATCTGGCTCAAACATATTACCAGGGCCATCAAGAAAGTGCAGCATAAGGGGGTTGAAGAAGTCATCCATGTAACCACTGACTTCCAATTCAATTACCCATGTGGGACAGTTCAGACTTTCCAGGCTGAATGAATGACCTAGAATTTGTCACATGTAACTATATACAGAATACTCTGCCTATAAAATGAGAGGATCATCTCAATATTATCTTGACATTTTTAAATGGTACTTTACCTCTAAAACGCATGATTTTAATATTATAGTTTTGTAAATGTGTGAACAAAAAATTTAATTTCCAGGTAAAACCAGTTAGTCTTTTCAAAGTTACACAAGTTTTCCATCTCCCTGAAGTAATCTCTTTCTTTCCCCCAGTGAATTCCTACTCATCCATCAAGACTCAGCTTTCATACTTGTCCTTTTCTGTAACAGTGTGAAGTGATCAGAATTTCCTTTCTAGGCAAAGGGGGGGTGTGCCAGAAATTGAGCAAACTGGGAAAAGGATGTGAGATTATTAGAGTTGGTTTTAATCATTACATGGATATTCCAGCACTTTATCATTACACAGCATTTTGCAGTTCATCACTCCTTTCTCAGTCTGAGGAAGAGTGTCAGATCCCAGGCTGTGGGTGAGGAGGTCGACATCCCCGAAGCTAACTGGAACTGGTTGCAGACACCTGTTAGCACCCGGAATTTTGGGTTTGGGACCTCCCTCCCAAAGGTATTTCTCTTTCTCCTGTTCTTAGGCCATGGCTATGGAAACCCAGCAGTGTAGCAGCATCAGGATTAAGGATAATGATAATTAATTTAAGATGAAATTGGAAGATGATTCCATACTCCTCTCAGTTTTCTTGGGAGGATTCTGAAGAAGTGGCCTAAAGATAAGGATGAGCCCATCCATGTTGTAAAGTAAAATACCATTGGGATTCACAGTTTATTGAAATTTAATAAAAATTATTTCCAAAGAATGGGAATCCTGGAGTAGCGAGGCAATTAACCAGTTCATCTTAAAAGATGGAATACTTGGAACCCCTTAGCCATTGTTCAATACCAAAATATTTGGTTTTCTTTCACATCACATCTGTCCTATCTTTTCATCTTCAGTGACTCATTCCTCATGCTTGTAATTAAAGCCATATTTGCCATCATAATCTGCAGTCACCTGAGCTCATTTTGCTCTGAAGCCAGTGATAGTAAAATGTTTTATTTCTAATATGTCCCTTAACTTGATTCTAGTAAAAGCAGCAAGCAGTGGTATTTAATATACAAACTCATCAAATTCCACATAAAATATTTAACCACATTTTTAAAAATTCAAGTGTCCTTTACACTAGATACCTTGGAAGTAATAATACACTTTTTCTCACCATGTTGTCATTGTGTTATGCATTCTTGGAACTTCCCTTTTGTAATTATCTTAAAATCCATTCATAAACCACTGAAGAAATCAGTCTTGCTTTATAATCCTATCTAGGTTGACATACAAAAATAGCATTGCCCCACTGGATCTTTCACTTTATAAAGCAGATGTGGCTCTACTGACTTTGGACTCTTTAGAATGACTTCCCTTACCTCTCCACTCAAATGTCATTGTTGGGTGTGAGCATGCTGGTGGGGTGGAGCCAGGACAGCTTTGTTAGACATTCCTCATGGTGACCACTGATGGAGACAACATGAACTTGGATGTTCTAATAAATAATACTTTTAAATAGCCTCTAGAGTAGTTTTCTTCCCTAATCTCCACTCCTTCCAATTCAAGGTCGAATTATAAATGTTTTTATTTTTCAGGCTGCTTTGTTTAATTTCACTTTTCAGAAATGCAACAGTAAGAGTTAAAGTAGTCCTCCATTTAAGGTAGAAAATGCTGGTATAGATCCAGATGCAGTGGACTAGAAAACATGGAATGATCATTGATTCCTGTTATACTTCTTTTTTCCTGTAACCTTGGATCCTTAAACTCACCAGTAACTGAACCTATGGTGATTACAAACCTGATAGAACCTACATTTTGAACAGAAAGAGAGGAGACAGAAAATTGCAATGTGTGCTTGAGGCAGAGGCCAGGAAGGCTGAGATGTAGACCATGTCTCACATCTGCATCTTTTAGGCCAGCAGGCCTTCAGAAACGGTCAGAGAATGGTGAGCACAAGAGCTAGTCTTACAGCTGCTGTGCCTGCCCCAACCTTTGCCCCCAGTTATCATTCAGAAAACCCTCTGGCTCCAGGGATCCTTCTACTGCCTCCATGTAATAGATGTCTGCATGAGTCAGGTAGAAACTCCACCCCTCCAGAGGTGAAGTTCTTAATCCACAATGAGCCGCAGGTGTTTCCAAGGACAAACCTGAGTCTCAGATCACATTCACATCAGAGGTCCTTGGTCACTCAGTTCACTTTCCAGGATCATGTACGTTCTTTCATCAATGTCACAAGAGATAACAGTAACTTCTGGCATAGTCTTCTGATCTATGCCCATTGTAAGCAAGAGTGACTGACTCAGACAGATACAGGACAGGATATGATTCGATCTTCTAACATCACACTGATGATCAGGAATACAAAGTAAAGGAGGAACATTGTGAAGCCCAGGATCTTGTTCATTCTCCATTTACATGACGCAATTGAAGAGATCACAAACAGGAGCATGAGAAAAAGCAAAACAATTGCACAAAACAAGCCATTGCTGCTGACTGGCACTGGCTGTAATCCATTGATAAGAGAGAAAAGTAACCAAGGAACGGGCAAGCTGCAAGATTGAAGAAACAATGTGAATATTCTTAATGTTTATAATAATCTCATACACTTAAATAGTATTTTACAGTTTATGAAATATGTATTTTTCCACCAAGAAAAATTAAAACCTATGAAGTAGAGCAGAAATTATTAGCCCCATTTCACAGATAAGGAAACTAAGGTTCAAGGAAATTAAATTACTTGCCCAAGAACTCGCAGCTGATAACTAGAAGAGCTTAGATTAAAACTGAAGTGTTCTGAGTCTGAGCTTTTTTTAAATTTTCTGCATACCGGCCGGGCGCGGTGGCTCACGCTTATAATCCCAGTACTTTGGGAGGCCGAGACGGGTGGATCACGAGTTCAAAAGATCGAGACCATACTGGTCAACATGGTGAAACCCCGTCGCTACTAAAAATGAAAAAAATAGCTGGGCATGGTGGCGCACACCTGTAGTCCCAGCTACTCGGGAAGCTGAGGCAGGAGAATTGCTTGAACCCAGGGGACGGAGGTTGCGGTGAGCCGAGATCGCACCATTGCACTCCAGCCTGGGTAACAAGAGCGAAACTCCGTCCAAAAAAAAAAAGAATTTTCTGCATACTTCATGACTTCCGTATGACTCAGATCAGTTGATGTTTGCCTTTCTTTTTTTTTATGCTGGGATTACCAGCACAGATTACCACACCTGGCCCCAATGTGATATGAACTCTTAAATCTCTAAATTTTGATAAGGTCTACATTTCTTTTAATTCTTTAGTGATGACCGCTGCCTTTTTACCTGCCCCTCACCCCAAATACACATACACAAATTCAAATTTAAGGAAACAAATCTACCACCCAAATTCAGGACATGATTAGGGAAGTGGAAATGGCCCCTCTTTCTGACAAGGTAGGGAGAATGGGAAAGAGGATGGGTACAGGAGGATAAGGTATTTACTTGTTATGCAAAATGCTGTTTAGAGCCTCTGAGCAGGAGTTCATATACAAAAGAGGACCAAGAGGTGAAACTGAGTCATTGCTCCTTCCAACCCCACCTACACCGCCTTGAAAGTCAGTGAGCAGAGCATTTGACTGTATTTGGTAATAGAATGGATTGGACTTTGTTTTTCGATTTATCTGTAAATTCTGGCCAGTTTCATTTCAGGCAGCATTTTAGTTCTATTATCCCATCTGTCTGTGATGAATGAAGGGAAGATATTTTGTTCCTTTGCAGAAACTAACAATATAAATGCCCTTTTATTCTATGTATAATGAATAAAGCAGAAAACCAGTGAACAGAACTAATGCAGTGTTTTCCAGTCACACTTAACATGCTTTAGAAAGTAACATTGCCACTCACCCCACAGTGATATCAAATATGTTACTGCCCACAGAGCTTGACACAGCCATGTCTCCCAGGCCTTTTCGAGCAACAATCACACTGGTGATGAGGTCAGGAATTGATGTGCCTGCTGCAAGGATTGTCAGGCCCATAATCTCTTCAGAAATCCCTATTGTTTCACCAACCTGGTAAACAGTAATGAGAAACCATGGCAACAATAGGTGAAAAACCTGAGGCACATCAAAGCACTATCCACATCCTACTTTATGCAAACAGAATACCTTCTAAGGAGCTCAGCCACACCCCCTCAGCCTGAGTGAGGGAGGGTGATAGGAGGACCAACAGCTGAGATAGCCAGAGACAAGCAAGACTCCTGCTCCTGACCAAAGGGACCATGTTGCTTTTCTTTTCACAATTGGTCTAAAAGTTAACCTACAGCAGATCTGCTGCTCACTGTCATTCCCACTCTTAACACCTCTACTTCCCTGCAAGAACTGCCCTTCCAAAGATCTGTTCATGTCAGCATTTCTATTTCCAGGAATGTGGACACTTGCTGTGTCCCAGGAACTAAGAGGCTGGAGGTGGAAGTATGAGCAAGATGACATAGACCCTAATCTCCGCCTTTTAGAGAGGAAAGCTAGTAAACAAAGATTACAATGCAGTATTCCAGGCAGAACAGAAACACTGTGAGCACTCAGAGGAAGACTAATGAAATGCCAGAGAGCATTCCAAACAGCTGGTTCTCAGAGTGTGTAGGGTTTCACCAGGTGAGAGGGATAGGTAACTGGCGGAGAAAGCAGGAAATATGACTAATAAGCCATGGTCAGCTGGAATTAGACAGGATTCCAAGGCCTTCATGCTACAGGGTATGTCAGAAAAGCCAAAATTGAGAAGTACTACGTTTACTGGAATAAAAAGTCTACCTTTAAGCCTTTACAAACAACATAGAAACTGCACAGATTCACCTGATCCTCGAGATTCCCTGAGTACCGGAAATTCATCCTGAAGGAAAGTGTCCTTGGGACCTGCTGGTAGAGGATTTTGTTCCTGCTGTTCACTCACCTGGTGAGCCCACCACACCATGAGGTATGAGAACATGGCTATCCACATGATGGATCCCAGGAAGGTGAGAACAAAAAACTTCCTTGACTCCTGTTTGAAAGTTTGAAAAGGATGGGATGTAAGTTGTAGAGGCTAAAGGTCTTTGGCCCCTCTGTGCAAGCCCAAGAATCAGTGACAAAGTCTAATGGAAGCATGATGGAGAGGAACTGGAGACATTTGACCTGAGGGCTCTCTCCAGGGAGGACCTTGAGATGGATGGAAAAGGATAGGGGTGAGGGGTACACCTGTAGGGGAGTCCAGCCAGTACAGTGTGCAGCAGTCACCAGAGGGAAGAGAGCTGTTTCCTTGCCCTAGAACCAGGCCAATCTAGGCATTCGGTTTGGCTTTTGCAACCTCCTTGTACCATTTCTTTCTGGTCAGACCTTTCCTTGCAAATAAGAATGTTGGGTAGAAATAGCAGTGATTTCCCTGGGTTTGGAAAATACTCCTATGAAATATGGAGGAGGTTTAGTGACATCATTTCCAAATTAAAATCAAGAAACTGAGATAGGAGTCAAAGAGGAACTAGTGTACGCTGCTTATAGCTGTGGAAATAAGGCACATTTGAGGTCTAGGGCCTCCCAAGTCCCATTGGTGTGTTGCCTGGGCACACGATCCCCCTCCAAGGCTTCAGTCCCTTCCCAGATCTCAGTGGTGGACCCCTGCCAAGCTGGTTGTCCCTGGCCTCTTCCTCCCCATTAAGTGTGAGCCCTGGGTGCCTAAAGACCCCACAGCTTCCCTGGGGAAAAAAAATCCTGAGGTACAGATGGGCACACTTACCGGCCTTCGGACATCAGGGACTGTCAACCAGAGTGGGAATACGATGGGCAGAAGGAAGAGGTAAATGGCCTGCTTCTGCCTGGTTTCAGGCCAGTCCAGGGACAGCGGCTCTTCATTTTCCTCCTCCTCCTCCTCCTCCTGCTCCTCCTCCTCCTCCTCCTCCTCCTGCTCCTCCTCCTCCTCCTGCTCCTCCTCCTCCTCCTCCTGCTCCTCCTGCTCCTCCTCCTCCTCCTCCTCCTGCTCCTTCTTTTCCTCCTCCTCCTCTTCCTTCTTCTCCTTTTCTTCCTCCTCTTCCTCCTCCTTTTCCTCCTCTTCACTATCCCCTCCGTCACTTCCCCCTTCATCTTCTATATCTTTCTCATCATTTTTGGCTTCATCATGATTTTCACCACTGAGTTCCTGGCTTTCCGTTTTGCCTCCATTATCTTTCATTTCACCGTCTTCTTTGCGGATTTCACCCTCACCTTCACCTTCACTGTCTCCTTTTCCTTCTGCTTCATTTTCATCTCCATGTTCTGCTCCTTTTCCTTGTGTTTCAGTTTCACCTTCAGGTTCTGGTTGAGTTTCACCTCCGCTTTTCTCTTCTGTTTCACCTTCAGGTTCTGGTTGAGTTTCACCTCCACTTTTCTCTTCTGTTTCACCTTCACCCTCTGGTTGAGTTTCACCTCCGCTTTTCTCTTCAGTTTCACCTTCAGGTTCTGGTTGAGTTTCACCTCCACTTTTCTCTTCCGTTTCCCCTTCACCCTCTGGTTGAGTTTCACCTCCATTTTTCTCTTCGGTTTTACCTTCACCCTCTGGTTGAATTTCACCTCCACTTTTCTCTTCTGTTTCACCTTCACCAACAGTTTTGCCCTCTTCGCCTGTCATTTCAACTGTGCTCTCAGCTTCAGCCACATCTTCCTGCAATCCAAAACCAACAGATTAATGTTTGGTAACTGCTCTGCTTGTTTTCCTTTTGTTGCTCCCCCATTTTTTTGTTGGTGTGCTTCTCAGAATGTGTCTGAAAACTTAACTATGAGGAGAAAACTGGTGTGATAATTCAGCAGAATTCCTATGACTGTACTCCTACCTAGTGGCTATCCAGCTTTTATTTGATCATATCCAGGGGTGGAAAATTCACCACCTAAAGCAAAGCAGCTTCTGCCATCTTTGACACCTCTGATTCATCTAAAGTCCATATGTATATCAGAGTTCTACCTCCATGTATAGGTTTACTCTTTGATGCCTTACAAAACATCAATATTCCATGAGACCGCTCTCTTCCCTGGGTTAAAGATTCCCAGGTCCTTATATCATTTCTACATGCTATGGCCTAGAGCCTCCTCCCCATCCTTGTGAACTCATTTTAATTAACTTATATCCCAGGAGAGGGTATCTAAAACTGAACACAGAAAATTGCATGGAGTGAAATAGGACTATCACTCCCTTGTCTTAGATACGATGCTTCCATTAATGTTGCCTAATACGGCATGACATCCTTTGGTGGCCACAATGCATTGCTGAGTCTACTAAAACTCTAAAATTGTTTTATTACCTTGTATGTATAAAATAAGGATGATAATAGCTATTTATTGAGGGTTTTTATATGCCAGGCACCATGGGAAGTAGTTTAATAATAGCTAGCACTTACTATGTTTTATGAATCAATTAATTCATGATATAGATAGAAGTATGCCCATCTTATAGATGGAGAAACTAGAGCAAAAGGAATTAAGTAACTTGCCCATGGTCCACATAGTTTGTAAGTGATGAAGTTGGGATTTGAATATGGATGGTCCACCAAACTACCCTGCTTTACCAATACCAGGTAAAGGGCCAAATTAGATGTCTGGCTTCCAAACCTGGTAGCCTGAGGAGCCTATTAGAAATACGGATTTTTAGGCCAGGCATGGTGGCTCATGTCTGTAATCCCAGCACTTTGGGAGGCCGAGGGGGAGAGATAACGAGGTCAGGAGTTCAAGACCAGCCTGGCCAACATGGTGAAACCCTGTCTCTACTAAAAATACAAAAATTAGCTGGGCGCAGTGGTGGGCACCTGTAATCCTAGCTACTCAGGAGGCTGAGGCAGGAGAATTGCTTGAACCCGGGAGGTGGAGGTTACAGTGAGCCAAGATTGTGCCACTGCACTCCAGCCTGGGTGATGGAGCAAGACTCCATCTTGAAAAAAGAAAAAAAAAAAGAAATACAGATTTTCTGACCCCACCTGGACCAACTGAATTAGAATCTCTAGGATTGGAAGCCAGGAATCTGTATTTTAAAATACTCACAGATGTTCCTAAAACATCCACCTTTAGACCAGTGTTTGGGAGCCACTGACTATCTCCATATACCCTAAAAGCCATTGATAGTGGGGTCTGGTCTCAGACATAGATGCCTATGTCTCAACTACTCAGGCAGCTGAGGCAGTAGAATCGATACAGCCCAGGAGTTCCAGGCCAGCCTGGGCAATAAAGTGAGACCCCATAACCCCATAAAAAATGTAAGAGATAAAATTAAAAGCCATTGATTTGGAGTGTCCTCAGATTAGGCACCCAGCTAACGTATAGCAACATGCTGGTCCATCCCTTGAGCAAGTGCCCTGGGCTGTGTGTTCATGGAGTAAATATGTTGTCTGTAACAAATGTCATATATTGGCAACCCCAAAGGATGTTGAGTGATTCTCAATTGTGATGCACATTAAGATCACCTGGAGGCCTTTTAAACCATTGATGCCCAAGGACACACCCAGATATTCTGATTTAACTGGTTGAGAGTGGGGCCTGGTCTTTTTTTTTTTTTTTTTTAACTTCCCCAAATTATTCTAATATGCAACCAGGGTTGAGAATTCCCCAATGAAAAAGTCAAATAGTAGCTGGTAAGGCCTGCAGTTTGAACTGGGAATGAGGATTCCTATCAGGTGGAGAATGCTTCCCAGAGGAGATGACAAGTCACTGAAATCCATAAGTGTGGGAGTGTCAGCCCATGTGCACCCTCTTCTCTGAAGACCATCACTCCTAATAGCCCCAGCTGAGCAGGTAGCTTCCCCTTCCTGCATTGGAGTCAAGTCAGCCAGCCATAGCCAGTTAGACGCAGTCTGGGTCCTTGACCAAGGAGCTGGGTTAAACTGATTCTCTCTCTCTCTCTTTTTTTTTTTTTTTTTTTGAGATGGAGTCTCGCTCTGTTGCCCAGGCTGGAGTGCAGTGGCACGATCTCGGCTCACTGCAACCTCCACCTCCTGGGTTCAAGCGGTTCTCCTGCCTAAGCCTCCCAAGTAGCTGGGACTACAGGTATGTGCCACCACACCTGGCTAATTTTTGTATTTTTAGTAGAGACAGTGTTTCACCATGTTGGCCAGGCTGGTCTCGAACTCCTGACCTCAAGTGATCTGTCTGCCTCCGCCTCCCAAAGTGCTGGGATTACAGGCGTGAGCCACCGTACCCAGCCTGATTGTCTCTCTTTTAATTCTGGAAACCAGTCACTGATTTCCCCTGTGGACTGCAGGACTGGGGTAGTGTTTTGGGGTTATATGTGCTCATAAGGAAACAAATGAAGGCAGCCTGACAAGAGAGGCCTGTGGTAGAGCCTGTACCCAGAGAAGGGATGTGAGGGAGAGCGGGACATGGAATGAGAAGCCACCAGGGTCACAGATGCCTTCTCAGGCCTAGGTCCAGCTCTTCATGAGATCAAGCTTCACTTCTTGCCCTGGCATTCCAAGGGACACCTCTGTATCCTCTTAATCCCATTTACTTGAGCTAGTGGTAATAGGCCTACTCATGTTACCATGACGCTTAGATTCTGAACCCAAAGTTGCTGGCTTAAGGATGAGATATAATCAAGTGCTTCTGGGTATTGAATGGAGAGGAAAAAAGAGATGGAACTTGCAAATGGAATGTTTTTTACTGTCAGTCACTCAACATATATTGAGCACAACTGTGCACCAGGTATTCTGCTTCCCTCTGTAGGGGAGACAGGGATGACTCAGACTTCAATCTTGCCTTCAGGAACCTCACAACCTAGTAGGCTCAGGATACAAGAAAGGCAGTTGGCAAAAGCCCTGAGATAGGTGCAGAGTGCCAGGGGCATTTAGATTTGGAGCAGATCAAGGCAGCTACATGACAAAGATGTTTATACTGACCAGAGGCCAGGGAGAAGGGTAGAAGCGCGTGACAAGATGAGGATATATGAAAATGGAGAGAAAAGGCATTCTAGGGAGAGGAGCCTCAGAAGGTTCAAAGGCCTTCACCCAGCAACCCTCCCACCTGCATTTCAAGCTTCCCATGTGAGCCAAAGCTGGGAGGTAGAAAAACATGGAGACAAGAAATCTAGTTTGGCCGGAACATGGTGGAAGAAGAGACCATGGAGCTGTAAAGACAGAGCAGTGTCAGGACTTAGAAAGCTCTGCAGACAAGGCTGGGGTGCCTGACCAGGTGCAGCAGGCAATGAGGAGCCTCAGAAGGTTCAAAGGCCTTCATTCACCCAGCAACCCTCCTACCTGCATTTCAAGCTTCCCAGTGCTCTTGAGCTACCTGGTCTCACTGTCACCTAGTTGCTGACAGAGACCCACTAACAATTATTCCTTATGTTCTTATAGCATGTGACAGTTCACAATACATTGTCAATACATGAGTTCACTGATACTAAGATGTTCCGGTGAGTTAATTGGCTCCATGAGATATTGGTATTTTTGAAATGATCTTCAGAGAAAGAGTAATATTTACCCCAGAGGACTGAACCTCAAATAGGATTTCAAACCTTCGGGGAGGATGTATTTTTGGTCAGCAACTCCTTCCCTGGATTTTTCCAATTTAATCTATACAAAGGGTGGGTGCTTACCTGACCACCTGTATTCTTCTTCTGATCTCCCTTGATGTCTGGAGCAGGGGCTGATGTGACCGTGACCGCAGGGAGCTTGGCTGGCTCCTCCTCTTTAAAGAATAAAATGGGTTACATCAGAAGAGTGGACAAGGCTCTGAGGGAAGCTGGTAGAGACACTGGCGTAAGTGGCTGCAAGGCTATTGGACTTCAGGGTTTCTGAAGGTTTATTTGGGGGAATTTCTTGCTGGTAGGAAAAGAAAGATGATGTGAACTATTGCCCTGACCTATCTGCAGATGAGCTATCTGTAGACGAGAAGACAGCTGGCAAGTTACCATTCTTGCTCCCCTGTAACTCACAGATATTTCCATCCTGGCTATTGTGGCCAAGGACACTGTCAACAGCTGGGCAGCCAGAACAGACAGAGGGCAGAGCTCCCAGCACTCGGAGTCTGACCCTTTGCCTGATTCCAAAGGCAGCAGCTTTTGAAGCCTTGGAACAGGATTGACAGGAAGGGAAACCTGGAAAGTATGGACAGCTAGGTTTAGGTAGGGTTCTTTCACTTCTTGGCTGTGTGGCCCAAGTGACTTGGGAAGTCACTTGACCTCTCTGAGCCTCTTGTGTATAGGATGGGAAGAATGACTGCTACTCCACCTCCCTCCAGGGTAGCTGGATGGATCAGGCAGTGTGCCATGTAGAGCCCACATGGCAGTGGCTGTCCCACTTTCTCAGTCCTAGCTGCCACACAGATAGGGACTTCTGTGACACCAGACCCCTGATAGCCTTCCCTCACTGGGGTTGCTGCTTTCAGACCCAGTAACTAGCAACACTGTCCTTGTACAGAAGAGACAGGAAGGAGAAATAAAATCCAATAGTCTCATTTAAGATGAGATTTAGCAAAAAGAAGTAGGAGTTCAACAATCCTCTAGTCTTCCCTTGCCTACCCCACCTGAGGAAAATGGAGAGAAAGCTGTATGGGGCCACTCTCAGACCAGCAGCCATGTCAGCAAGACAGCACCTGGGAAGGAGGAGTCTGGAGTGGAGCGGCATTCAGGGCAATATCCGACCCTCACTCTGACTGGCTCACAAAGACGTGTCTCAGCCCCTGGCCTGGCTGGCTACCGCCTCCAGGCCAAACTCACTACTGACAACAGGGAGAGTGGGGCAGGAGAAAACCCACTGGTCTGGCCATCTTCTCACCTTCTGGTTTGCTTTCTGCTTTGGCTTGGGGTTGGGCTCTGGCCTCTTGATTCAAGCTCTCCTCCTCCTCCTTGGCAAGGCGAACTGCAAATGAGAAAGGACACACATCTTACCTGGGATCGCAGGATCATCCCTGCCACACCCCTTCAGTTAGGACAGTCAGCAGAGCAGCCAGAGGGCAGCTGCAGAACGTGGGAAAAGGCTGCCCTGGGGGTTGTGATGTCTGGATTCTGATCCTACTAGGCCTATTTGTGATGCTTAATTCCCAAAGTTTTGTCTTAACATTCTCTGCATTGCCACTGACTGACTGTGACCAAAGGTAAGTCACTTCCCTTTTCACAGCCTATTTCCTCTCTGGTAAAATGACATGGTTGGACTCAGGACCAAGAAATAGGATTTATTTCCTTTACAAGTTCAAGTGATGACCTGCCTGGGTACTGAATCGAGAAGCACTCTGACCCAGGCTTTGTAGGAAAGTACCATGATTGATTGGCAATATCTGTGATGAACATGGAATGGAGAAATAATTGCAAGGAGATGTTTTTTGCCACCCTTGGACTATAGTATCTTTGTAACTTACTTTCTATGAATCTACAAGAAGCTCTGCTATAGCTCCAGGGAGACGACTGATGGCCATGTTCATAAATCTTCCATCTCCAGTAGAAAAGGGGAAATTACTCACCAACAAGCTCTCAGCCACACCCTTTTTGACCCCAGGCACAATAAGAGCCTGAGAAGGGCCTCCTTCAGATTCCTGTGCACGTGCTTTCCTAGAGGCCCACAGAGCAGCATGCACAGAATTGTGCTGCCCTGATTTCCAGGCTAGAAACACAAGGTAGGCAACTCTCTTTCACCGTGACTATGAGACTCTGTCTCATAAAGCATGCAAGAACTTTACATGTATAATTTCAAGGTGAGAGGGGAAGAAGGAACAAGGCTCAGATGAAGGAGCCCACAGCTGTGTGGCCTGGGAGGGTAAGGGCAGTGGCACAAGTGATAGAACAAAGTGGTGTTGGGCTGGGGGTGGTGGCTCATGCTTGTAATCCCAGCACTTTGGGAGGCTAAGCCGGGTGGATCACAAGGTCAGAGATCGAGGCCATCCTGGCCAATATGGTGAAACTTGTCTCTACTAAAAATACAAAAATTAGCTGGACGTGGTGGTGTGCATCTGTAGTCACAGCTACTTGGAAGGCTGAGGCAGGAGAATCACTTGAACCTGGGAGGTGGAGGTTGCAGTGAGCTGAGATCGTGCCACTGCACTCCAGCCTGGTGACAGAATAAGACTCCGTCTCAAAACCAAAACCAAAACCAAAGTGGTGTCATGGGATCTATGGGATCTATTCTGAAATTAGGCTGGCTCTGTCCCATAAGCACTGGGTGACTTTGGGAAGCCTGCACGCCCTCACTAAGCCTCACCATCCTCTCTCTAAAAAGGCAATCCCATAATATCCTCAGGGCACTGATGTGATGAGGGTTCATGAGACAAAATAAATGAAAACACCTTCATTGCTGCAAATGTTGGCCTCACTCATATTGTTACTTTAGCATGGATTCTGGAGCCTGATGACCTGAGTTTGAGTATTAGTTCTGCCACTTGCACTATAGCTGTGGACCTAATTGGGTGATTCCTTATGCCAGGCGTCCCCAAACTTTTTACACAGGGGGCCAGTTCACTGTCCCTCAGACCATTGGAGGGCCGCCATATACTGTGCTCCTCTCACTGACCACCAATGAAAGAGATGCCCCTTCCTGAAGTGTGGTGGGGGGCCGGATAAATGGCCTCAGGGGGCTGCATGCAGCCCGCGGGCCGTAGTTAGGGGATGCCTGCCTTATGCTCTCTGTACTTCAGATTCTTCATCTATAAAATCTTCCAGAGTTGGTGACAGAGCAAGTGAATTTATACATGAATATGCTCAAAACAGTGTCTGACATGTGGAAAGCACTATATAACTTTCAGCTGTAATGACACAACAATGATGAAAACAAATTGACTGGAGTAGTTGAGAGCAGCTGTCCTACCTGGGAAGCAACCCCACAGTGATGATGCCCAGCATTCCAGAGGGCCTAAGTTAGAAGGAACCCTGGAGATCATCTAGTTCGTAGTACAGATGAACCGAGAGAAAACAGAGAAGCTGAAAAGTGCAATCTGGGAAACTGGGTGGATCAAAGCCTCTGCCTGGCTCCAGGATAGGCAGAAAACAGATAAATGGGTTTGGAATTTCTTCCTCTCCACCTGTCTCCTAAACTCTCAGAAATAGTTCAGTTGCAGCTGGCTCTGGCAATAAGCTTCATGGGTAGAGCCACCATTATGACACGTGTGGTCCCTTGAAGTGGCCTGGTGGGCCTGGGTCCTCATCAGAACTGAGAGGTCAGGGGCCAACACACCATTGCCTCCTTCATCCAGACAACCCCAGTGCCCCCTTGGCACTAATCAAGCCTTGAAGCCTTCTGTTGAGCAACGTTTAGCTGCTGTCACAGGAGGGCTCCCTTGGTTCTAGTCTCGGCACTGAGTATCTGCTGACTGTTGGCTAGAAGGGCTAGCAAAAACGAGCTTCCACTTTTCCTTCTCATCCCTCTCACAGCCTAGCCTCTCACTAACCACGTTACTGAGGAAAGCAGGTCAGCTGCAGGGTCTCCCCCACCCCGTCTCACACATATTCAAGTGAAATCACCACAAGGGGCATAGGACCGTGGAGAGAAAAAGCCCCTTGGCAGAAAGGTGAGAGTTTAGACCCCAGGAAACGTCCTTTCCACGGATCAGCTCTGTGGAAAGAGCTGATCACCTGGAAAAAGTGGAAACATCTGGACGGCCATATGGAAACAGCATACGTAAATGCAAATATGCATCTAGAGTCTGGGGAATAAAGGCCCTCATCACAGCCCTGCACGGTCCCCGCTCCTCCTGCACATAGTCTCAGGGTGTAGAATCAGGCTGGGCTGTTGAGCACGACTGAATCCCAGAGGATATCTGCAGTCATGCACCGTGAGAGCCATTCCCTGCCCCAAAGACGCCCAGAGACAATGTTCCAGTATGCTCATCCTCCCTGGGATGATTGCTGCTGGTTCCTGGGCACTTGTTTCTTCACATGCTTCTCCCCTCTCAGGGTGGCTGGATCATCGCTTTAACATCAATCTCCTCTGACCTCAGCCTGGCCTGAACATCACGTAATCCTGTTAGGACAAGTAGGCCAGCTGGAGGCTGTTGGTTGTGGAAGTGGCCCAGCTGGGGGCCCTCTAGTCCCATCCAAGAGAAGGTCTTTATCGTCAGGACTTCGCTAGAGTCAGTGATTCCTCTGGGAGTGGCCACTCATGACCCAGAGATCCAGCTTTCCTCACGGGGCTGAAGCCAGAGCACCCCCCAGCACTCATCACCGGAGGCTGCCAGGGGCTGCAGCTTCCATCCCGCAAACCCCAGAGGTACGATCCTTCCGGGGCTGACATGCGTGGGAGGCCTCTCTCACAATGTCTGCTGAGGCTTACCTTCAGGAATTTCTTTTTATTTGTTCTTTTTTTTCCCCTCTCGTTTTTTCCTAACAGCTCCATTAACAGCTTAATTTTTTTCTCCCTTTCTCTCTCCCTCTGTTCTTACCTTGACGAATTCCTAAGGCAGGTTTCATCACTTGTCTTTGATGTAGCTTTTCACAGTATTTTTTTTTTTAATTAAAAAAAATTTTTTTGAGATGGAGTCTCACTCTGTCGCCTAGGCTGGAGTGCAGTGGCGTGATCTTGGCTCACTGCAACCTCCACCTCCTAGGTTCAAGTGATTCTCCTGTCTCAGCCTCCCAAGTAGCTGGGATTACAGGGACCTGCCGCTGTGCCTGGATAATTTTTTTGTATTTTAGTGGAGACAAGGTTTCACTGTGTTGCCCAGGCTGGTCTCGAACTCCTGAGCTCAAGACCACCTCAGCCTCCCAAAGTGCCAGGATTATAGGTGTGAGCTACTGTGACCAGCTGGTTGTTTTTTTTTTTTTTTTGGTAAACAACTGACAACCCAAAATTGTCTCTGAAAAGGACTTCAGAGTCTAAAGAAAATTCTGAGCCCCCAAAATTTGTCCTTGAGCCAGAAAGGTCAGTCAGAGTGCTCCTTGGGACTCAATGGATCATTCTGTGGTATCATATTCAGCTTGGCCCTCAGCCCTCCTGCCCAACTGCAGTCCAAGCCCTTGGCTTTTGTCCAAAGGCAAGCCTTTCTTTGATGGGTCTCCTGGCTGGGCTCTGGTTCTGCACCAGAGCCCCAGAGACAGGGGGGCTCAAGGAGAGCAGGAAAGTAACTGAGTGTTGCCCTTTAGGGGTCTGAGATGCATCAGTCAACTATTTTGAGAAGAGAAGCAGAAGGCAGGATTTGGTAAGGTGGATAGTGAGAATCTCAGCCACTGCCACCATTTGTCAAATTGGACAACAGCCCCCCGCTGTACTTTGGGCCCTGCTCTTACCCTCATCACCCCTAGAAGACTCCTGGCAGTTTCCAGGGTGTCCTTCAGGATTCCTGACTGGAGGAGGAGTTAACAGGTTTCCTAGGACTCCAGAGTTGAATATAAAGCAAAAGGAAGTGCCACTAAGAACTTCTGGGCTTTGGGACCCTACAAGTGATGTCCCCATAATCAGCCCAGGCCAGTCAGCCTGGGCCAAGCTGCCTGGCTAGACACTCTCCGTGGAACACTGGGGCTGACTCCTGGGCAGTGGGCTTTGCAGAGCAGCCCCAACCCAACCCTGTGCAGAGCACATGGTACTCACAGCCTAACTGCAGGTTAACACCTTCATTTTATAGGGAGGGACAGAGGCATGGAAGTAGTGGGATGTGGATACTCAAGGACCTTTGCTTTCATGTTCCTTGTTGCCCTCTCTTGGTGAGACCCCTGTCTTGGTCTCTACCCTCTTTCCCAGACTGTCTGACTTTTACTACCCACTCTTTCCTCTGCTTATTCTCTCTTCCCACCCCCTCCTCGCCGCCTCTCAGATTTTCAGGTCCCAGTTCTTCTCCAGCTACAGGAGGGAAGGAGTGGATGGGACGGATATGGGTGTCTGGAGAGGCCTTGCTTACCTTCCCTCAGGGGGTCCAGGCTGTGGAGCATGAGCTGGTAGATGGTGCTGCGGATGGTGCTGTTGTGCAGAGAGGTCGAGCTGCTCCCTCGGGTCAGCAAGGATGGGAGCTGAGCAAGAGGAAACCCTCAGTGGGCCCCTGTCCGAGACAGGGGAGGAACCACATGAGGGCATCACTAACCTTGCCTCTTTCCCATAAAGATCAGGGAGAAAGCACAGATACTTTATCCTGACCTCCCCTCTTCCTCCACCTCTAACCAGGAGAGTTATACTGCTTTCTTTCTCAGCCTCTCCTCAGCTCCTCCAGGACTATTTTGTTCTATGTACTGGATAATTTCCCCAGGTCTCCACAGGGAGCAGACCCGGAGTGTTAAGGATACCATATTACCAAGGGTTTGCACATCCCTGCAAATACACCCTCATGAACACTCCCTCAACCACGCACCACACAGACAGCACCACCGCACATGGCTACAGCCCTTTACAGTCCACAAAGAGCATTATCATGTTTTATCATTGCCCCACTCCCAGAGATAAGCAAAGCTGTGATCCCCATCTATGGAAAGGGACATGAAAACTCAAAGAAGCTAGGAGGCTTAGTCAAGGTCATGCGGGAAGTAAATGAAGCAGAGTAGTATCCAGGTCTTCTGATTCCCACATCAGTTTTTTGTTTTGTTTTTGTTTGTTTTTTCCCTATGTGCTTGGAGACCTTCACAGGTACACACATACACATACATCTATGTGTACAGACACAGATGTGACACTTATTCATAGTAGCACACATAGAAATATCATCTGATTTACAATAGAACATCCAAAGGCAACACTTCCACACTTGCTGAGTCCTCTCTCCCTCCCTCCCTCCTCTTCTTTCCCACTTCTTTCTTCCCCCTCATTCCTCTGGATCTGAAGTCTTCTGCCATCTAGTGGCTGTGGTGACACAGTACTTCACCACAAGTCTAGAGGTTTTCTTTGGATGGAGGAGGCTCTTCAGGTTAGGTTTGGAACTCTATAACAGTGCGCTATATAACAGTGAACACATTCTGTGACACTAAAATCAGCTGTGTGCTCAGGTAAGTGCTAGCATTTTGGGAAAACTATGGGGCAGCCAGCTGGGAAGTGGGACAGCCCTAGACAATCCAGGATGAAGAAGCATTAAGCCTGTAGCATTTACCATCTGAACCATTAGCTTGCCACTTTACACTCACAACCTTGTAAGGCAATTTGAACTTAAAAAAAAAAAAGCACCATTTAACGTTTCACTTGCATTAATCGTCTACCAGCTACATCTAGACTCTGCATGCTTTCTTTTTTTTGCCATGCAGTGAACTTACAGTCATCTCTGTTTCCCTTCCTTGTGGCACAGTGTTTACTGAGCACAGTAGGTGCTCAGTAAAGGTAAGCTGAATGAGTAGACACTCCAAGTGACCTTTAGTGCTTTTGTTTTATTATTACTATTTTTTTGTTGTTTTGAGACAGAGTATCACTCTGTCACCCAGGCTGAAGTGCAGTGGTGCAATCTTGGCTCACTGCAGCCTCCATCTACCAGGTTCAAGTGATTCTTCTGCCTCAGCATCCCAAGCAGCTGGGTTTACTGGTGTGTGCCACCATATCCAACAAATTATTATTATTATTTTTTTTTTTTTGAGACGGAGTTTCGCTCTTGTTACCCAGGCTGGAGTGCAATGGCACGATCTTGGCTCACTGCAACCTCTGCCTCCTGGGTTCAGGCAATTCTCCTGCCTCAGCCTCCTGAGTAGCTGGGATTACAGGCACGTGCCACCATGCCCAGCTAATTTTTTGTATTTTTAGTAGAGACGGGGTTTCACCATGTTGACCAGGATGGTCTCGATCTCTCGACCTCGTGATCCACCCGCCTCGGCCTCCCAAAGTGCTGGGATTACAAGCTTGAGCCACCGCGCCCGGCCAAATTTTGTATTTTTAATAGAGATGGGGTTTCACCACGTTGGACAGGCTGGTCTCAAACTCCTGACCTCAGCCTCCCAAAGTGCTGGGATTACAGGTGTGAGCCACTGCACTCAGCCTTATTATTTTTTGGAACTGCTTTCAAAGTTCCCCATAATTCTTTCCAGATACTTCATAGGCTATAAACAGCTAAGACCCTGAGACTCCTGCCCCCTCCAGTGACTCTGCTATCTTTCTGTTAGTTCTGGAGCATCTCAAAGCCAGAGGTAATTTGGCTTATATCAATCATACAATGTTGGGCTGTACACTACGACTTGAGTTCATCTAGTGCAAACAGTCATTTTACAGATGCAGAATCTGAAGCCCAAGGTCACACAGCAAGCTAATGGCAGAGTGGGCTGTAACATTCCAGACTTAGCTCCCAAACCAGCACCTCCTCAAAGGCCATCTGGAGGTGAGAGTTTCTCAGCAAAGGAGCCCCCTCCTTCCTTGCCTCACCCTGGCAGTGTTCCCAGGAGCTTCCTAGGCCTGAGCACAGCCAGGATCCCCAGCTCAGAGCCACAGTAACCTGGGCCGGTGACCATCTGCTGAGACCCTGCAGTGTCCCCACTGGGCAGACTCCATACAACACCCACCTTCAGTTTGTTGTTATCCTGTAGCTCATCCACCGCAATGGCCCCATCGCCTGGCTGCAAACAGGGAGAGGAGTCACAAGATGTTGTGGTGAGACCCTCACTCTCTCCCTACATCCCTCTCTCCAGGGAAGGCCTTGGGTTGAAATACAGAAACACACTCTGAGATAACCTGGTCTCAGAAAACGTTTCAACATGTCCCATCCCTCCAGTCTGATCTTCTATAATCTGGCTTCAGCCTGCAATGTGGTACCCCGATCAAATGTGTCCACTCACCACAGTCCAGTGGCCCTGTCTTTGGGTATCTGAAATGTGCCATTCTCTTCGCCCACCTCAAAACCTTCATTATAGGGTTACTCGCCCCCCGCCCCCTGTCCATAATACTCTTTCCCTCCTCAGGCTTCATGTCTCCAATTAATGTGTCATGTGTCACCTTCCTCTGGGAGGCTGAGTATCTAATTCTCTTTTATAGACCTCTGTTCTTTTCCTTCACAGCACTTTCCCCAATTTATTTGTGGAAGTAAGTTGACTGCCCCACTAGCATCTTGAAGGTAGACAATTTTATTTACCACTGTGTGGCCAGCATGAGAACACTGCCTAGAACTTAGCAAGGGCTCAGTCAATATTTATTAAATGAATGAATAAATGAAAATGAACTGTCCTCTAAATACACTTAATCTATTCTAATTCTTGTTCCCTTGTTCATGCCTTTTCCTTCTGCCTAAAATGCCCTCTCCATTCTTTCTGCCTACTCAAATCTTATCCATTTTTCAAAAAATTCAGAATGAATTCTTGTACGAAGCTTTCCCAAATGCCCCTTCCATGCCGCCTCCCACCCTCCTTTCAGCTCACTACAATACCTCTCTCCTAGAAAGCTGTGTAACAGTGAGCACATTCTGTGATACTAAAATCAGCTGTGTGCTCAGGTAAGTGCTAGCATTTTGGGAAAACTACAGGGGGGCAGCCAGCTGGGAAGTGGGACAGCCCTAGACAATCCAGGATGAAGAAGCATTAAGCCTGTAGCATTTACCATCTGAACCATTAGCTTGCCACTTTACACTCACGACCTTGTAAGGCAATTTGAACTTGAAAAAAAAAAGCACCGTTTAACGTTTCACTTGCATTAATTGTCTACCAGCTACATCTAGACTCTGCATGCTTTCTTTTTTTTCTTTTTTTTTTTTTTTTTTTTTTGCCATGCAGTGAACTTACAGTCATCTCTGTTTCCATTCCTTGTGGCACAGTGTTTACTGAGCACAGTAGGTGCTCAGTAAAGGTAAGCTGAATGAGTAGACATTCCAAGTGACCTTTAGTGCTTTTGTTTTATTATTACCATTTTTTTGTTGTTTTGAGACAGAGTATCACTCTGTCACCCAGGCTGGAGTGCAGTGGTGCAATCTTGGCTCACTGCAGCCTCCATCTACCAGGTTCAAGTGATTCTTCTGCCTCAGCGTCCCAAGCAGCTGGGTTTACTGGTGTGTGCCACCATATCCAGCAAATTTTGTATTTTTAATAGAGATGGGGTTTCACCACGTTGGCCAGGCTGGTCTCGAACTCCTGACCTCAATTGATCCACCCACCTCAGCCTCCCAAAGTGCTGGGATTACAGGTGTGAGCCACTGCACTCAGCCTTATTATTTTTTGAGACAGAGTCTTGCTCTGTTGTTCAGGCTAGAGTGGAGTAGCACAATTATGACTCATTGCGGCCTTGACCTCCAGTGCTCAAGCGATCTTCCCACCTCAGCCTCCCATTAGCTGGGCCTACAGGCATGTACCATCACACCCGGCTAATTTTTGTATTTTTTGTAGAACTGGAGTTTCACCGTGTTGCCCAAGTTGGTCTCCAACTCCTGTGCTCAAGTGACTCACCCACGTCTGCCTTCCAAAATGCTGGTATTACAAGTGTAAGTGACCAGCTAATTTTGTTTTTTGTTTTTATGTATAGACCAGGTTTCTCTATGTTGTCCAGGCTGGTCTTGAACTCCTGGGAGACCAGCAGACCTCCTCCTTCACCCCCACAAAGTGATGGGATCACAGGTGTCAGCCAGCACACCCAGCTTTTAGTGTTATCTTTAAGCAGCAGGATCACAAACGGCTGCCCTCAGCAATCGTATTTACCTTCTCAGAAAATACAGAAAACAGTGCTTGATCTAGGGCCATTCACCCATCCCTCCAACTCATTCATTCATTCATTCATTCATTTACTGAGAACCTGCTATACTATTTATTAGTGGTGCTATTCTGGTGGCTTTAGGGATACAAAGATGTTTAGGACATGGATTCTGTGTCCAGAAAGAAATTGAGACCAGTGATAACATAGATGCATGACAAAGAAGGTGGTTCCTGAAATAAAAGCCACAGATAGGTACTGTGCTAGGTCAAGGAAGCTTTCTGAAGTAGGTAGAATCTGAGTAAGCTTTGAAGGATTGCAGGAAGGTTTAATGCTTGAAAACACATTGCTAAATGGATGAATGAACATAAAAATGAATGAAACAGAGCATAAAAAATCTTCATATGAAGGGGCATACTGTGCATTTTAACAAAGCCCCCCAACTCTTTCATAACACATGACCCCATTGGCCCAGCCATCTCACTATTTCTCACATCCAACTCTCACCCAAAGAGTTCTATTTTTTTTTTTTTTTTTAAGATGGAGTCTCGCTCTGTCGCCCAGGCTGGAGTGCAGTGGTGTGATCTCGGCTCACTGCAACCTCTGAATCCTGGGTTCAACTGATTCTCCTGCCTCAGCCTCCCGAATAGCTGGGACTGCAGGTGTGCACCATCATCCCCAGCTAATTTTTGTATTTTTAGTAGAGACAAGGTTTCACCATCTTGGCCAGGATAGTCTCGATCTCCTGACCTCATGATCTGCCCACCTCAGGCTCCCAAAGTGCTGGGATTACAGGTGTGAGCTGCCTCTCCTGGCCAAGAGTTCTCTTTAGAGGCAAAGAACTGTAAGCGTTCAGTCTACACTCTGGGGTGGATCGTTCTGTACACCGAGAGGTAGGAGAGACTGATCTTTGCCCCATCTGACTGAACATGCTCCATGGTACACATCCCTAACGGTTTCTCTGCCATTCAGATTTATTAAAGCCAAAATACCTTTCTAAGGATTCATTGTTCATTGCTAATTTCAGTATGCACTTCTAGCTTTCTGAAGCCTTTCACTTCCATTTTATTATTCAATATGACCAACTCTTTGAAATAGACAACACTCATATTATTGTAGCTATTTTGATAGATGAGAAAACTGATATGCCGAATGTTTCCATCACTTACCCATACTCACAAAGATGATGACAGATCCCTGTCTTCTTTTTTCCTCTCTCCTTTTTTTTTTTTTTTTTGTTTACAACCCTGATCTTACCTCCATTCAGAGCTTTTTTTTTTTTTTTTTTTTTTTTGGTGGGTGGGGTGCTTTTGATTTGGTTTTACTAAATCCCATTTATTTTTCCAAGCATAAAATAAGGAAATGTGTTCAAATCTATATTCCCTAGAGGCTCTATTTTCAAATTATTGACATTTCAGGCAAATGAGCATGAATGTTTGTCCACATTTGGGTGTAGCTGATGTGATTTATGAGTAACAGCACTGGCAAGTAGGTGCTTTCTGAACATGCCCTTTTCACAAATGCACTTGCCTCTCACATCACATCCCAGCTACTCTTTCTTCAGCCTAGTCACTCCCACCTACTTCTCCTTACAATTATCAAGAGGCTGAACAGAACAGGATGTCTTCATGCCTCTTGCTGTGGATGAGCAATGGGATCCTTTGCAGTTGTTTATAGGAACTTCAGGTGGCAAACTGTGGTGCCCCCTGGCAGGCTTGTCCTCCTGACCTCCATTTGCTATTTCCCACTGATACAGCAATTCCTCTTCTTGACCATCCATAACACATTTTCTGAACCACACATTAGTCTGTTATTTTTTTAAACATTCATTCAACAAATATTCACTGAATCCCGGGTCTCAGCCTTGCCTTCACCCAGCTTCTCTCAGATAGGGCACACTTCACTTTAGCCTTTCACTGAGTACAGTATTGCACCCCAATCCACTCCATTTGTCTATTATGGAAACCCAGAAGTCTACCCAAATTCCTCCCTCTTCCTCACAGCCCACACCCAATTATCTGTCAGACCTCATTGCTGAAAGTTCTTACATTTCGCCTTGTCTCTGCACTCTCCTGCCTACAGTCCTGCACAGACTCCCGACTTCTAATCTGTTCCTCTTCTGGTACATTCACCACTCCTCCACCAGAGTGAGTTTCTGAGCAAAGCACATCATGACCCTCCCTGACACACTGGAGCCCCACTGTCACCCAGTGAGAGTCCAAACTCCCTAACTTAGCACAGCTGCCTGCTTACTTGCAGTCCAGTATTGTCCAATAGAAATATAATGCAACCCATATATTTAATTTTAATTTTTTTAGTAGCTGTATTTTTTAATAGAGTGAAATTAGTTTGTTTTTTTTTTTTGGGTGGGGGGGAAACAGAGTCTCACTCTGTCGCCCAGTCTGGAGTGCAGTGGCACGATCTCGGCTCTCTGCAACCTCTGCCTCCCAGGTTCAAGCGATTCTCCTGCTTCAGTCTCCTGAGTAGCTGAGATTACAGGTGCATGCCACCATATCCGGCTAATTTTTGTATTTTTAGTAGAGATGGGGTTTCACCATGTTGGTCAGTCTGGTCTCGAACTCCTGATCTCAGGTGATCCACCCACCTCAGCCTCCCAAAAATGCTGGGATTACAGGAGTGAGCCACCACACCCAGCCATGAAATTAAGTTTAATAATACACTTTAACCCAATATGCCTGAAATATAATTTCAACATTTAATTAATATTACAAATATTGGGGTGTTTTACATCTTCAGACTAAACCTTTGAAACTGGTATATATGTTAAACTCACAGCACATCTCAAATTGGACTAGCCACATTTCCAGGGCTCAACAACTGTATGCAGCTGCTGGTTACAGTCTCTTCTCGCTCTCTCATTTCTCTGGTTTTTGCATATGTCTATGAGATGCCCTACCCCTTGTATAGTCAATGAATTCCTGCTTGT